CCAGCCAGGATAATCTGGAYCATCCACCATGGCACCAGGCATTAATTTCAGTCAGCTGAACTATGCCCAAGGCACCCAAGTTCACAGAGATGCACTCGATGCAGTCCCCAGGGCCTGGAGGGTGACCCAACTGGTCTGACTGAAGAGAGGGAGTGGCCAGGCAGCCAAATGACCCTGGGTGCCAGTGACTGCATTAACTAGACAGCCACGGGCTGTGACAGCAGTCTAGACACCCAGTTTGCACAGAAATGTGTGTACATGGGGGTGTAGAGTCCGAATCTCAGATGGATTCACAATTGCAGAGCTCAGCAGAGCTGCCCACAACTCTTAGYGTTGTTTCAGATCCCTCATCAGGGAAGGCAAAGGTCCACTCTGTGTCCTACATTGCACCTGCCATCGTTGTGTGGATGCTCCTCACACATTTGGGGATATCAGCTGGCCTTGAAAACGTAAATTCAGGGAGAGGACCAAAGTCCATAACTCCTTGACTTCCTTCCGTAATGTTTTCAGCAGCTGCCAATGTGTTTCAGATTGCAAAGGCTGCAGCTCCTAACAAAGACTAAGCTCATTTAAGCAAACATTGGGTAGAACTGGGCAATTAATTGGCCAATTGCTCATCCCGTCTGGGTGTTGGGAAAAACTCAACTCACCAGAACCTTTAGCCAATGACAATCATCCACCTTCCTGTCTCATCATCCATCACCACATTAATTACGTGGTATTTTAAATCTTTCTTGTCCATGACTGCATTGACAAAATAGATTATCAGGGGCAACCAACCTCAGAGTGCCCCAGAAGAGGGTCAAATTAATAACTAGAAGGAGGTGCTCCAAAATTGTCAAGGGCAATCAGAATTAATGCTTGAGAGGAAATAAAACCAAGCAGATGAAATCCAAGAAACTRGGACTTCCCTGAGGGATGACGAAAACACTTAGAATAATGGCCCAATCATTTAATTCTGAATTTCAGTGAAAATCCTATAAAAGTACTTAAAACATCCCCATTAGCACTAAATGATCTCATCTTGATTAATGTTATTAAAACAATTGCCAAAGGGTTTAGCAATGATTAAGTCTTTTATCTCAGGTGATAAATTCTTAACATTCTAGCTACATTAGGATAAAGCATAAAAATAAAAGTTTATTTTAATTTTAAATTTTCTAATTTATTATATTCCTCCTTTGTCCCTCAGTCAGACACCAGCAACACCTGCACATTTCCACCCTCATCTTGGTAAGTGTGGCACAGGAAAATTATGCGATCATTTTCCCACTGCTTCAGTTGGACACGGAGATGCTTCAACCTGTTCTTCCCACTAGGTTTGGGCATCATTCAAAKCACCAAATTAGAAAATTAGACTCCTTAAGAACCCTTCACATTTAACAGCATGGGATGGTTCAGTCTGACCTGATTCTATCTGTCTCTTTGTATTCTTCTACCTCAGATGTCTTTATCAAATACCCACATTGAGGTGGATGGACCCCAGGTTTCAAACCCTGCCTGGGCACACAATTAGAGCAAGAATCCCAGCCCAGCTGGAACCATTAAAAAGACYCCTGTTGACTTCAATGGTGGATTTGCCTGGACTTACTGTACTGGTAATGGAAAATCATGTTTGATAGCTTTCACATCCATCCCAGAATGTTCTGGCTTTTACCCTCCCAGCGCCCTCAGAAGAACAARATTGACAGCAAGTGTGGGTTTTACCTGTGACAGACAAATGATGCAGTCAGCACACAGATGTCCTGCACCACCAAGGAGCAAGACAGCACATGTGGAGAATGTTTGTCCTCACCTGTCTGCATCTTCACCGGGACAGCAGCGAGAGWAGATGAGGAAACATCTCTGGTGCTGCCTTCTTCTGACAGTGCTGGTTATGGACCATAGCTGAGAAAATCATAGTCATGCCAAGTAGCTCTGCTGACACTGCAGGTCAAGACAGACAGGGAAACTCCAGGTGCAGTGTCTGTGGTAGAGGTTATCTCACTCCCAAATAAGTGCTCAGAACCTTGGCATGTAAATGCAATTTTCAAAGGCCAAAATATGCAGGAAGTTTTGATTTGAATTGGGTCAAACACCAGCATACAAGCAAACCACCTGCTTTGAAGAACTCCAGAAGTTCTAATCCTTTTCCCTCATACACATGTGGGCATGTACGAAATCCTTCCTTCCCTCATCCCAGTGAAGAGTTCATATTGGAGTCACTCTACAGATGCTGTTAWCAGTTTTGCTATTATTCAGGTTCAAATGGTGGGGTGTGCATGTCAAAATACCTTGAGAAGGCCCTCAGAGTCCTTACTTCTCTCAAGTTCCTGACACGTCAGGAGGCATTTTCCTTCAGTCAGGGGTGAGAGCAAACTGTGACTCATGAGTACTCAAGCTGTGCTGCACTGAGAATCACAGCAGACTGCTTTTCCTTATCTGCTCTGCTACAGGCTCTTCTGGCTGCAGCAGGGCACACTGAGGTTTGCTCTTGGACAGATGGAAAAGGCAGATTTGGCAGGCTTTCTTCTCATGTGCAGTCAGATGAGCTGTAATCTTTATCACTGAGTAATTACACAAATATCTCTGTGACAGCCCTGCAAGGCAGGTGCAGAYAGCACCATTGCCCTTCTTGCTGCTTTTTCTATACTTGGCATCATACACACACACTTTTGCACTGGAAGTGTACCCTGAATATAAGGAAGAACAACTTCCCCGTGCAAGTGACTGAGAKTGCCCAGAGAGGGTGTGGAGTCTCCTTCACTGTAGATATYCATGAACTGCTTGGACACAATCCTGTGCCATATGCTCTGGGATAACCCTGCTAGAGCAGGGAGGYTGGACCAGCTGACCCMCTGTGGTCCCTTCCAACCTTATCCATTCTGCCRCTCTGTAATTTCCTCTTCAGAGCTACTGGGTGTGTAGTTCCCATGTGGCAAGGAGACCTGAGCATCTCCCATCCTCAGGAAGACACAATGGGGAGACCTAAAGGCAACCCATGAAAAGCAGAAACTGTGGACTTATAACACCAACCGCAAACCCAGCACCCTGTGTGAGCTTATGCCATCTCTGGTGAAGCTGGGCTGCTCCAGCTGGTCATGTCCTGTCTGCATGGACCTCTGCCACTCCTCTGGAACACACCACAGACACGCTTTCACACCCTGCAGTGCCTCCAGCCCTTCATCTGAAGCCCTCCAGACATCAGCACTTCCTGGTGTTTTCCACAAGTGGCACAGGGGACAGCCCACCGTGTGGCATTCCAGGGATGGGGGACTGCCAGCAATCCCTTCAGTGAYACGAGAAATGCTGAAGAGGAAAGGAAAAGGTGGTTTCAGTCCTGYTACGTTTCTTGGCCAACCTGCTCCCACATGTTGTTACCAGGCTGTTAGAGATGCTAACAGAGCTCCCTAGGTCTGAAGTGATCTTTGCCCAGGGGTTTTTGATGCTCTTTGTGTGCCTGGATATGGAACAGCACTTGGTCTGCACAAAGGGAAGTGATAAAGAAACCTGCACCTTAAAGGCAGACCTGGGAAATAAAGATAAAGGGCTTCCATAAGATAAAAATGAACCCAAACAAGTTTTTATTTCTTTCTCTGACTGGAGTACTTTTTTGGTTGTTAATTACTCATAGGTTTTGCAAAACCTCTGCTTTTCCATTTCCTGGTATTTCTTCAGCAACTTGAAACTTCTGATGAATTCTCTGGAAATACATAAAGTATGAAACCTCCTCAAGATTCTTTTCCTTTCATCCCACATTTTGAACTACGTAGCCATTACTGGATGGGATGGGATGGGATGGGATGGGATGGGATGGGATGGGATAGCATTTTGCAATTTGCTTGTCTTCACCAAAGCTTTTGCAAAATGTCCTTAATTGTTGCTGCTGAAAACCCCCCTTGCTGTTTTCATTCATTTCTCTCTATATGTCAATGAATTTGCAGCAACATATGCTTTTTTGCAGTTTTCTGGAAAATATAATATCCTACCCTAGTTCACAAATTTTGACTTCCAAGGACTCATTTAGCCCCTGATTTTTTTTTAACCTTTGGCTTTGTTTAGACTCTGATTGAAGTCCAGACACTTTTCCTCAAACAGAACTGACTTTCTGTCTTGTTTCTAGTTTATCCCCTCTCTAGTTTCTCCTGCTCAAGGACGTTTTTCTGATTTCCAAAATGAAGATTCCCAGTCCTATGGATGAACCCAGTACAGCCCAGAGGAATCTGTCCAACCACACYCACACCTCCCAGTTAAATAGAGCCAGGACACAAGGACAGATCACCATCATCTGAACCAGAGAATGGCCCCAGCAATGCCAGGACCACTCTGAATTTGGCCYGCCAGCATCCTCCAAACAGTTCCAGGACACAGCTAAGGCATTAGACCAGGGACTGTTTACTGGCCAGGTTGGATGCCCCCACCTTGTTTTGGAGGAGAAAAGAGTTTAACAGAACAGACATTGCCAGATGGCTCCAGAGACAAKGAGTCCTCAACAGATGAGTTCTTGGAGAGCCAGTGGTGTCTCCTCAGAATCTGCTGCATTTGTTCAAACAAAAGCAGGTACTGGAGGCTGTAAAATATCCTGRCCTCTGAATGCATCTCCATCCCTCAGAAGAATGTGGACACACATGGACCTGTGAAAGGCTCATGAACACCATTTACAGCTGTTCTGTGTTCAGTTTCAGTCTGGAAGGGGTTTTCAGAGCCCTCCTACCCATCCAGACACTCCCCATGCCAACAAAACACCCCTCAGTGGGGTTGGGTGAACTCTATCCTGTGACTACTGCTGCTCAGGTGCTGGTCAATTCCCATTGAGAAGTAATGCTGAATTTAGCTGTAGGTGTTTTTCCCCAATTAAAACTAGCAGGTCTGTGTGCTTTSTGTGTGGGGGAAGGGGGTGTGAAAAAATAGAATTCAATTGCACAAGCTTCACGAGCAATTAGTAACTCAGAGTGGAAAGAAATCATGAACCAAATCATAGAAAATGGCAACAGAGCTGCAAAGATGACATCATAGTTTATTGGAATTATTTAAACATCTTAGACATATGTGCAAAGCTCAATGGAGAATTCCAATGTTGCATGCCAGTTAAAATTAGCTTTTCATTCAGGATCAAGTCAAATATCCTTCTGACTTCACACTGGAGTGCCATACACATCTTTTTATACATGGCATCTAAATAAAGCCTCTGTCACAATTAGCTGTGCTGAAACAACCTTGGCTATCACATGATGATGCATATGCTTTAGCTGATGTGCATCCGGAGAGAAAGCTAACCAGAACCACAGGATATTTCAGCCCTCGGGGGGAGGGAAGTGAGCAACTCTGCTGTGGAAAGTAGCTGGAAGTCATCCAGCTTCTCCAGGGCAGTCAGTCATGAATATCCTGCTTTGRCCACAGAGGGGTTGTGGAGGAAGCAGGCTCACAACAATTGGGAAAGGTTTGTAACCACAGGAGTCAAATGAATGAAGCCAAGAGACTGCCAAGTGATGCAATTCATGGTGAAAAGGGAAAAAAAAAAAAGAAGAAAAAAAATACCCAAACCCTCCTCAGCTCCTACACAGGAGCATTCATCATTCACTGTGACCTTCCAGGAATGTGCTGACAGACACAAAGCGTTTTGTGTGACATTGTGCCAGTGAACTGGAATGACTGCGCTCGCAGCATTGTTCCTAACAGCAGGGCACCATCTTCTGGAGGCTGCACAGGCTGTCCCRCCGCTCCCAGGCCGGGCTGAGGGGGGAATGATGCACCATCGCTTTGAAAGCAATTTAGGACCTAAAAAAAAAAACCCAAAACAGTGTTCTGAGCTCATATTAAAACCAGCCGCTGCCTCAATTAGGCACAGGCGCCTGAGTGCCTGAGAGGGATGTTGGAAGCGGGGGATGGGATGGGATGGGATGGGATGGGATGGGATGGGATGGGATGGGATGGGATGGGATGGGATGGGATGGGATGGAGCTGGGGGAGACGTCCCAAAAATGTCGTATTGTCAGAATGGGCGGGCAGACACCTTCGTGCTGTTTATCAGCGCAGCACTGCTGCCGGTGGACAGAGAGAAAAGGGGAAAAAACAACTGTTATCATGGAATCACAGAATGGTTCGGGTGGAAGGGACATTCAAGGTCATCTAGTTAGCTACAAAATCACTCTGGCAGTAGAATCGGGCAGGATGGGATGTGGTTGGGCTGTCACTCTGCTGGGGTCCCAGCTGTCCTGGGTGCTGTCAGGGGCTGATCTCAAACCCCGCGCTGTCTGTGCAGCCTCTGTTCCCCGGCAGCAGCAGATGTGGCCTTGGAGGTTCAGAGGTCCTTTCGAGCCATGCTAAGTGCAGATGACAGTGCCAAGTTCCTCTGAAATACCTCCAGAGCCCTGTCCCCTTCCTGGTGATGAGCAATAGATTTCTGGTTTGGCATTTTGGTGATGCCTCCAGCATTATCTCTCAGACCCTCTTTGCTGAGTCCATTGTCCTTCATTTTCTACCCAGTCTGGAKACTAACTCAATACAATGTTATTTTGCTTGAGTACAAATAGAGTCAATTTTATTGTCCCCTGTGTAATGCTGTGGTCCAAACTCTTAGACTAATKTAATTTTAAAAAATTATCTGCTTCATTTTACACCTGCAAAACTCTTAAGTCCCAAAAGCTGTGATGTCTGACACACATATCCTGCTAGTCTGCTCTTATTAAAACAGACATTACATATTTCAGCTGAAGGACAATGYCATAGGAGCCATGAACAGAAGTTTCTGGGCATCTGTGTATGTCTAGGAGCACAAGCTGCTCACCCTCAGCTGAAGGGTAAGCCAGAAGGTTTCACAAACCCTCCTGCTCTGTTTCCTGCAACATTCCAGCATATCACATCGTGAGAAGGGAGAGGGAKAAGGAGGAATAATGCAGGGATATGTGGCATTGGGCTGCCCTTGGCATCGTGGTGTCTGCCTCTCTGGGGACGTAAAGTGCCAGGCTGGTAAATCAGAGGATGCAGRACAGCAGGAAAGAAAAGAAATCACTCATGGTGTGATTCTTGGAACAGAAGAAAAAAAACCCAAAACATACAGGCTATGTGGGACTGTCCTGTGCAGGGACAGGAGTTAACTTTGGTGTGGGTCCCTTCCAGCTCAGGCTATTCTGTGATTCTGTGACTCTGTGCTGCCTACAGGCAGTGCAGCCTGAGCTGAACAGCAGACCTGGCTGGACAGACCTCGTACCTGAGAGGATCTGGCACAGTCAGGAAGASTGGAGCCTGCCCCACAAGAGGAACTGATGTGGGCAGCAATGTCCTGGACATCCTGKCCTCAGATGGTGTTGCACAAAGTGTGTCTTGCTGGATTGCAATAAAACACGCTGCAGGAGGGTCACCTGAACGAGAAGAAATAAAATAAACTGTAATCAACAAAAGGTACCAGAAGCTGCTGTCACCACTGTGTCCTCCACAAAGGGAGTGGGTCACCTGGCTGAGGCTGGGGGGAGAACTCACTCAAATGATACAAAAACAGAGACTGGAAAGGTAATGAGCCAGTGCAGGAATGAGTGTAGGATTACAGACCAGGGTCAGAGGGGTAGGATGTGGGAAAACATTTGGAGGAAATAATAGTTGCTACAACCCTTAATGARAATAGAGAAGAAGATGCCAGGATGAACTTACTCTTCTGTCCTTGCCTGGAGCTAAATTTTCAGGACCATGCAGGTGAYGATGAAAGATCAGTCAGGCAGAGATAAAGGATTTGCAGCACCTCTGTGCAGCACTGTCACTGTAAAGCTGGGTGCTCAGTGATGTCCAGCATGCTTTAGACAAGCATTTGGGTTTCTCACTTAAAACCAAGCATGCTGCTCCATTTCTCACAGTCCAGCTGTAGCCCTCAGTGTCCCACTGCTGCCGTGGGCTGCAGTCACACGGCTGTTCCCATGCCCCTCACTAGTTTCCTTCTTGGCATCCACTTCTGGGAACAGCCATCCATGTGCCCTGTGTATCTGGGAGCATGTGATCCCGGGCAAGTCCTGCACATCCCGCATGCCACGGATCAGACTTGCTGGGAAAAGTTCCCAGGGACTTCCTCAGTTACTGCCCAGTGGTCTCTGAGAGTGTTTGTTGGAAAATGGGGAGACAGTCAAAGCAAACCTGCAGGGAAACATAAAAAGATGAGATCTAATCTAAGATGTGGGTAACAGCCTGGCTAAACAGAGTAAAACTTACAATCCCTTTAAGAGATTCACTTCCTTCTATTCTGCACATGATGCAAGAGCTGTTTTTTATGAGATGATCAGCCAGAGTTCTCCAGTTGTCTGAGGGAAGGTTTCACCTCCCAGTGAGCAATGAAATCCTCATCCCACCTGGYGTCAGATAGCACAATTTAAGTGGTAGTGGTGGTAGTTTGCACAAAGACTGATCTGACTCGGTGTCTGCAAAGAGAATGTTAAYGAAAGGCAATGTGTGCCCACTTTGTAACTTTGGGTTATGTGGGTTTCTGGCAGCACAGCACCAGAAAGTCTATTAAATAAAAAGTCTAAAAAKACTATAAAAATAAAGAGTATTGCCATCTTGTGTGTGATGTTTGTTCCCGGGTATGCCGAGCCTCTTGTGCTCGCTATGTCCCGTGAATCATTCCTCCCCATATAGAGACAACAGAGTTGTGTCCACCTTTGCAAAAAAAAAAAAAAAAAATGCTGAATTCCCTGAACCATTTCACTGATTCATGTTGAAGATCTAGAGAATTGACACAGTGCTCTTTAACAACGAGGTTATGGCTATCACAATTCATCAGAAAAGCAGGGCTACCACACTGTGGTAAGGAAATGAACACTATGTTTTCTTTATCATAAACTTAAAGCATATTGCATTCAATAATTGCCAATTTCTTTCTTCTAATTCCACACATATTGGGACATGGAAAATTTGGCGTGGGGAAGCATTTAAGGAGGAAATTGCATCTTAAATTTTTTAATATATTTCCATAACTTCTAAGCTTTTCAAGAGTTCCTGATGAATTAGAGGATCTCAATCCTGAGAGCTGAATTTAAACGACCATAAAAGGACTTAAATTTCAGATGATGGGTTCTCAGCCATTCTGAAATTCAGGCGTTATTACAATGTTTCCAGTTAAGCACCCAAAGTCATTAGTCACTTCTGAAAACCTTGGCATAGAGTAAAAGAGAAAATCTCCAACTGAGCTAACATCCTTCGTGTACAGACTCATAAAACAAAAACTAGAAAAAATGTCCTAAAGCCCATGAGTGAGTCAATCTCATCCATTGTGATTGTGGTAAGCTGTAAATTATTTTTCTTTAATATCTAATACCTGGCTTTTATACAGCTGCTTGCTTCTATTTTTTTTTTTTTTAATCAGTGGGCTATAAGTGTATTATAATCTTTAAATGCAGCATCATGGAGCCATTACTGCAGGAATTTAGTCAGTGTAGACAGACCATCATAGCAAAAGAATCCAGCTAAACAAAATAYACACCAAAGTATTCGCTCCTTAGAAGACAATGGGAAATTTTTAGCAGGAAAAATTTCTGATGCCTTTCTCACATATTATCCTTGAGAACACATTTCTCAGTCAGATCAAACACAGTTGTGTTAATATTTCTTTCTCTGGTTTGTTTTGGCTCCTCCTACCAAGGAGGCTCCATCACAGATCCCAAATCTTCAAGTTTTCTACCCTGTCCTCCAGAGCAGAGGGCAGGAGGTTCACCACGGCTGCTCAGAGCCTCCCAGGGCTGCTGGCAGAGCCGCTGTTCAGGCATTAGCCCAAGGCTGTACCTGAAACAGTCTCCTGGCCCACAAGTCCCAGCAACTGACTCAACAGTGACWGAGCCAAAATCATCCCCAGCACTGCCCTCAGCCTGGCATTTAAATATCCCAGGGAACTTCCCGGGTTCCAGTAGTTCGACTGTGGGAGCAAACTCCCTCAGGATGTGACAGATGATTTCTACCACAGAGCAGCCACTGCCAGCCCAGCTGTCRCCTCCTGCACTGACCTGACCGAGCAGAGGAGCTCTGGGCAGCTGGACTTGCTCTTTCAAACTTACAACTTCCAGCCTTGCACCATCACCCAGCACAGTGCTGGGCAGTGATCAGAGCAGCCAAAGATGTGGTGGCTGCCCAAGCACCAGGTTTTATCCAGCACATCAGGTCTGTGCCAAACCCATCACCCGGGGTCTTAGACAAGACCCAAACTGAGCCTAAGCTGGACTGAGCTCTSCCTCACTTACCAGAACATTTTGCTGTCTGGAGCCAAATCTCCTGAATGCTCTTACTGGGGGTTGAAAGGATGTGTGAAGCCAGGTTGGAGCTGAAAGTGGAGCCAGTCACCTGGCTCCTTCATGAGGGCCTTACAGAGGTCACTTTGTGAGTGTTGTTGTAAAATGATGCTGTGCCGTGTCTCTGCACAAACCCAGAGGGTCATTACTCCCAGTTAAGACTGCTAGTCAGAGAGGGCAGGCTGAGGGTTGATTTAGGTGGGGCAGCTCCATCAGTTTTTGAGGGAGCTTGAAAATAAAATCATAAAATAAAATAAATCCTTGTGAAATCTTTGCAGTCAGCCATGAGCAGCTGTTGTTTGGCTCCTGTCACAGCCCCACGGCACAGCCTCCTGACAGCAGAGGAGCACYTTGGAGGGATCAGACCCTCCATATCCCCATCTCACGTCCTTCTGAAACAGAAACAGGTCCTGAGACTTGCACACGAAACAGGCAGCTCAAAAGGAAGGTAAGGGTAAAACACTTAGGAAGTGAGCAGGATTTAAAATGCCAAAGAGGTGGATGCAAAAGAAGAGAGAAATACATAAGAGGCACCTAGCCATCCAAAACACCCAAAGGCAAATGTCCTGGATACATGCAGTCAGTACACTGTTCTAGATGTTTTTCTTTCTAGCCCAGTCTTAGAAACCTGTGGTTTGTCTTTTTCATACATTCATTTAGCAGTCAAACCTTCCCTCTGTCTCACTTTTCCCTAGTTTTAGAAGTTAGCATTTTACTTGGTTTGCAAAAAAGATTTCCTTTTAAAGTAAAATTATTCCATATAAAAAACCCAAGTCAACAACTGACAAATTGTCATGTAAATGCTTTGTAAAGCATTTTAAAGAGTCAAGGACTAAAATATATGTTTGCAGTGCCCATCATTAAAATAAATATTACCTTTTTATCCCTGAATGCAAAATGTTATATAGCCACATACAACAAAATATTTAAAAAAATTAAAAAAAAAAAAAANAAAAAAAAATTATTACTCTGCTCCTGAAAATAGGCAAGTTTTATGTGACTTATGTGCTTACACCTCTTGAATTTAATAAGTCTTTGCTTACCACTACGGAAGGTCGTGCATGAGGTTAYTACTCATACACACCAATCAGTTTCCCAGGTAAATCAGCAGGAAGCTAATTTGACCAGACATCTGAAAATTTCTATAATTTTTAAATATGAATTGCAATCAAAGCATTATTTTCAAGCATGGTTTTTGCTGTTATTTGCAGYATTCCCCACCAAATGCCCTCTCTTYGAAGGCAAKATTTAGAAACTCTCACTAGYCAAAATTCTAMCTCCCTGTTCGTCATGGGGACATTTTGGAAATGYTATCCCTGGGTCAACACTCATCTTGTTGCATTTTAATGAACAGTGTGAGCCCTTGTGATTTGCATAATAGCCGATGGTTTCAAATCCTGCMGGAGCTCACACCTTATTATCCCCCTTTATGAGAGTACCTGGGTAGCAGTGACCCCGACACCTCACTGCTGCCATTATCCAGCGGATGTCATCAGTGCTCAGAGCTTCTGAAAACCAGCCTKCATTTAATAGGTAGCTAAAAATAGACAGGCATAGGCTTGCTTATAAGCCAGAGCCCTTTAGCCTCCCACCCTGCCTCACGCCAGTGTCTCCAGCTATTTCATTTTCTCTTCAGCAGCAGGGGTTTGGAAGTGCTCTGATACAAAACTGCATCTCTGTCACTTAGCAACCCTTGCCATGGTCCCTAAATGAACCATTTTATCAAGSAATTCATGTGAGTTTGGAATTTATAACCAAATCAGAGGTTTTTTGCTCTGTCACCAGATAATTAAAGTATAATAATTAAAGTTTAAAATAAACCTGTGAGAGCTTTTACTCTGTGATAGAAATAGAAATTAGGAAAASTGATCTAAAGTTCTGCTGTGAGTTACTGAGATTGCATTTACCTAGTTTTTAACCTTTTGCCTGCTTGTTGTGAGAGGACATTGCTGAATTGGGATGCTTGCTGGGAACAATCACCTTGGACATTGTCCCTTGCTTCAGCCACCATCAAGTCTTTGCTGCATTTAAAGTTTAGTACAGTAACAACAACTTTAGTGGGAGATATGATTGCTTCCTGACTTATTTAGGGAAGTGTAACTTTTAGATTGGATAAATTTCAGCATTATGGTTTATTCCCCTTTTWAATATAAACAATAATAAACTATTCTCCAGGATACATGAGAAAATTTGGAGCAGTACAACCACAGGAGAAACTCCTTCAGGTTTAACACACACTTGGGCTATGCAGCAATAATCTTTGCATATATCAAAGAATATCAAATATCAAATGCATGTATCAAGCCAGTGACTATTTAAAACTACAGCCCATTACCCTGACTGGCTGGAAATGGCTCACCTGCCGAGCAGATTGTGGGTGACAGCCATCTCCTTGCACCTCTTGGCACTCTCCACCAGCRACCAGCCCACCCTTGCCTGCCTCTCCCTTGGSTGATGGAGACAGCTCAGGGTGCRGAGGGAAACCRAGGCAGGGATGCATGTGGGTGGAGRTACCTTGCACTGTGGGTTTGGCAGCAAGGAGGGCCTCCAGGGGACCATGGATGCTGTGGACACAACCCAGGATTTTGGGGCTCAGGTCCATCAGTGAGGGTGAGGATGCAGCTGTGACTGAGACCCGGGGGCTGGTACAGCCATCTCTGAGGGTACCAGTCCTGCCCAGCCCTCCTCAGAGGAGGGGTCCCCACCCCTGGCTGAGAGCTGCCCTGGGAGACACCGAGCAGGAAACACAGGTGTGCCAGGCTCTTGGAGGGATTTTTTCCCACCARGCAGCACTAAAGAAGGAAACAAGAAGTGGCCTCTTTCGTGGCTGAGATTCGCTCTGGAGGGCGGCTTCTTGCCTGCCGCTCCTATGTTGCAACACAGGAAATTTGCTTCTGCTAACACCTGGTGTTGTTTCAAACAGCCAGATGGCTCCAACCTCAGTCTCCAGTAATTGATGGCCCACTTGTCTAACCCTGTAACTATCTCTCTCTTTAGACACAGATGCTGCATCTCTCCAAATACCGTTCCACATTAAAACATCCTACCTTCCTGTTTCACGCATCAATCAACGCAGTAACTCTTACAGAAACCAGCAATGGCCTGTGTAAACCAGGAGACAGTGGGTGTAAGCAAGCAGAGATAAAATTATGCAGGCTTAAATTACAAACTGGATGTGCGGTTTGAAGGATTTAGACTCGCATTGCAAAATGAGCTGGGACATAACCAGCAAGCAAGCAGACATCAGGCAGTGACCCCAAGAGCAGATGTTAGCTCACACAAGGCAGGAGCCCTGGTATGTGCTGCTCTCTGTTCAGTGACTAATGCTAATTTGGTGCTTCTCTGCATCAGYCTAACCCACTGCCTGTTTCCAGAAAATCCAAATAGCCGAATATGTGCAATATCTTTTTTTCCTGGGTTCTTCTGGTAGATGGTTCCCTTATTCTAGTTGACCTCTGCTTGTGGGTGGTCTCTTACTACAGGGATGATGATGAGGGACCCTAAAGGCTACCACAGTACCAGAAGGCATTAGTCTTCACGAGTTTGAAGATCAGAAGTTTTTACTTGACAGATTAGGATCTCCCCCAGGTTCCCTGCTTCCTCTCAATCCTTGTTCTGAGCAAACCGAAAGCTGACACCTGGGATCCTGACAACAGACTCAGGAAATGAAAGCTGAAGTTACTGAGGCTACCAAGATGTTCTGTTTCCTGATATTAAATGGAGACAGTATTCTTCCATCTYTCTTGGTCAGCAAGAATAAAACTTGACTGTCAGGTGTTCAGAAACTGAGCCGCTGGTGTTGGTTCAAATGCCTTTCTTGCATGATGCTCAGTTTCATATCACAGCATCTCCAGGATTAAAGCCTTGTTTCAGAGCATGCCTGGGACAGAGGAACTGCCATCATCCCCTCCTTCTGCGTGGAGACATRAGGCACAAAGCACAGTGCAGGATTCATTCACACAACACAAGATTTCTGTGCCAGTCCACGGACTAGATCCAGTTCCTTCCTTGTGACCCAGGTTTCTGCATTTCTATTCATCCCTCCATTTTAGGCAGGTGTTTTTGATCCTGCAATTTCTTTACATGTGGTGTGTTACTGTTCAGGTTCTCATGTCAATGTGGTTATCCCATGCTCTCAAGTTCACTGCTAGATACCATGCATGTCACTTTATAAGATTTGCCCACAATTATATGATGATTACTGTAAGAAWAAAGAGATCAAGTATAGAATTGGGATGGACATAGTAAAATCAAGGTTGCAGTTTCCTGAGACTTACACAGAAGCATGAKATTCTGCTTCCCTGTGAGCACATTTAACTCCCTAATGCAGAACAAAACTGTCCCAGGGGAACAGAGAGGGGGTGGGGTGGAGAATCAGGAGGAACAAACAGGGAAAGTGACTTTTTCCTTTAGGCAGTAAAAAAAMCCCAGGAGGTCAGATCAGCCACCCATGAAACCACAGCCTAGGTTTACAAGAATTTACTAGGTCAAAAGAAATGGAAGTGATTCCACACCAATGATGTGCAGAAGGGCAGTCCAGAGCAAGACAAGAAACAAGCTTTGCAGAGAGGTGCAATAGTTGTGCAGGCTCTCAGGTTGTGCAGAGTGTATGAGAGAGAAAAGTGTGTGTGAACAGCAGAACTGCTCCCGAAGTCCTTGTAACTCCAAACAATCTGTGACTGACACAAAACAATGTCTCCAAAACCACCCCACCCCATCATACTCAGAGACATAAAGACRTGTCTTGTTATTTCCATTTGCAAAATACACGGATCAGAAAAAAGTCCACAATACAGGGCACTGCATTTTAAYAGAATATCTGGATCCATGCCGGAAAGGAGTATGAGAATACTGGGTCTTCCCCTTTCTTTACTCTCAGTACATTCCCAATAAAGCTGTTTCACTTTCTGAGCCTCACAAYTTTTCCTTCCAACTGTCTTTGCCAGTTTGAACTTGACAATTGAGAGGGGTAACTGGAAGGTCATATTTTAAGCATGATCAGTTGAACTTCTCCTTTCCCAATGTACTTATTTGCTCTCAGGTATGGTTTTTTTGGTACACAATTTTCCACACTTCATCTCTAAGAAGCCTTTGCTAGGAAAGCTTTTAGATTTTTCTGGCCTCATTGCAGAACTGAAGCTTCCCTAACACAGGTTCATATTGCACAGGCTCCCAGCAGACAGAGGTGAAAGCARTTCAGAATCAGAGATTGCCCCCTCTTGAGACCAAACTGAGCTACAGATGAGCTGAAGCACCGCTCCAAGCCATAGGAAGAGCCCAGGTCATCTCAAAGCCTCTGGAAAGAGAGGTCCCAATATCTCATTACCCAGTTAGTCGGGACATGTATAGGGAAAGAAATCACTGCCAGACCCAAGCCCCAGATCAGGCTCTTCCCAGGCACAGCACGGACACGTCAGCAAAGTGGCAGGGCACGAGCCCCAGCCCTGGCACACATTGTCCAGTGTTCTGACAGTGAGGGCTCCTGTGACCTCAGCCAGGGCACCCAGCACTCATCCAGGAGAGGTCTGAGCACAGCCCAAGGGTCAGCAGAGGCCAGCGGTCACCCTGTGTGCYGGCCGGCAGCTGGACACTGCCAAGCAAGCCCATTTGTGTGGGCGCCTAAAACAATCCCTGCCATTTACTGGGCAGCAATTTATCTGCACAGACATAGCCACTGAGCCTGAAATATAAATAGTTGTATCTAGCAATGGGGAATGGAAACTGTCCTGGTCATTGGTTTTGATGTATTTATGGCTGTTTTTAACGTAAATCTAAGTTTTCAGTGCTAACGGTCCAAGACTGCTGAGGAGTCTCTCCTTCCGCCACCATATTTTTGGCAAAAGTCAAAAACAAATACGTTCAAATCTCCTACCTCTTTGCCTCCAGAATGCTAAAGGGATGAGAGGGATCTTGAATTGGATGTAAATCTGTAGCACTCACTACTCACACTTCAGAGTGCAATCAKAGCTGTGCATATCTGAGCACCATCCAGGTTCTAAGGGATGATCCTGTGTCAGTAAGATTAGAGAAAGGCCTCCACCGCTCAATTTTTGGATATTTGTTGGCTATAAATCAAAAGGCCAACACATTGATACACCAGGGAAATATCTTTGTTTGCCTATGTTAACAGTAATGTTCTAAGATAAAGCTGTTATTTTAAAACATTACTTATTTTCACTTTGTACTAGTGTTTTTAACTGTGCTGAAAAGAAGGATGTTTATACAATTTTGCAAAGAAACATGAACTGTTCTACTCCATTTACATTTCTTTGTTCCAAAATGTATTCCTCTTGTTGAGATTCCAGCAGACAAGGAAAGCAGACACAGCGGTTACTTTCCAACGTGAAACTTAAAACCACAATCTCCCGCTCAGAAAACACAGAATGAGTCACAGGAAGGGGCCACTTGCTTGCAAAACTCATTAAAAGCAAGGCAAGGCAAAATGGATTTCCTGTATCAATAAAATAGATTGCTGGCAGTAGGCAGAACACCTGACAGTGCTGGAGGCTAAAAAACCGGTCCGAGGGTAACCATTAGTAAAGCCAGATCAATTCTTCAGCTGGGAAACTGGATCTCCCCAGTACACAGATTTCTTGGAATTAGTTGGCTTAATCCAACAAAGTGCTTAAGAATATGCATAAACTCCAGCTCAGGGAGGGATGAGTTAAACACTTGCTGAAACAGGCTGGAAAATGATGATGYCTGTATTTATTCAGTGAAGCAAGCTGTATTAAGAGGATGCACGCATGGTGCCACCGAGGTGCATGCATTGCAGGTGAAAGCTTTGTTTCCCAAGTTCATGAAATAATAAAGAAGCCCTAGTCCTTACATAAGCTTAAAATTTAGCTGTAATTGCAACTTTGTTTTGCYGTTAGCAGTACTCCTTGGACACTTGAGCACAGAATTTCTTTTGTTCAGTGTTATTTCCTCCGTTTGGCAAATAAAGCCAAAAGGGCCTTCTCACCTCGTCTGTGCAGCGCAGACACACGGGATGCCAAGCAGTGCTGCTTAGGGGGCACAAGGCAGAGCTTGGTGCCTGACCCAGCACCACCCAGGGTCAGCAGCAAGAAGGGGCTTTTTGGCCACTGTTTCTGGTTTTGTTCCCTCTCTCAAGTTCCCTCTAGAAGAAAACTTAGTTCTCATTTTACCTTTATTTTTCTCCCTCACTTCCCAATGGCTGGAAAGGTCTTGATGAAAGTCTCTCTTCCCAAAGCATCCAACAGCTGTAATTCCTCAGCACTGTGGCGTTCCTTAGAGGCAGTCCCTTGGCTCCCATTCTGATTGTGAATCTCCGACACGCTACTGAACAGAACGAATGGCTGTATCGCACTGCAAGCAGAACAATGAGAACTACCTAAGGTCATGGCACTGTGACTGTATTCCCTTCAGAACCATACTTTGCTGGACTTTTATTAAAAGAAAGAAAAAATAAACACAAAACTAAGAAAAACCCACTAGGAATACCCTTCAGACTTCACCTTTGCATGCATTCATGRCAGAGCTGAAAGTTATTTTAGTTATAGGCACTAGCTCTTAACATCAACCATTTTCTGCAATGAACTATCCTGAGGTACTTGGCATATACAATGCATATTGAATTGAGACTATCTATTTACAAGGATGAAAATACTCAAGAAATATTCCCTACCTTCCCCATGKCATCAAAACACACCCCTAACAACAACTTTATGATCTTTGCTGCTAAGGCGCTTCCTCCCTCACTGTTGCATCTCTGGTGTTAATATGATATTTCAGGAGCAATGAGTATGTCCTTACAAAGTTTGGTTTGCTTATGCAAAAGCACCATTTCTCTGATTTTTAATTAAAAGGGCACCTTCATTTCAAAGTCTGTCTCCAGAGCTCCAGGGTAAATGTATATACAAGGCAGAGACATTCAGAAAATAGAGAAGACTGAAGAAGCAGTGACTGCAGGCTGCCCAAATAYGGCTGCTCTTGTATTTTTAACAGAGAACTTGAGATGCCGCAGAGCCTTATCAACCCCAAACATCTTTGTTTTCATACCAGCACRCACAAGCCTGGCAGTATCACCATGCTGCAGTGAGTCTGCTCAGCAAACCTGGCAGTGGGAACGAAAGGCAGCACTGTTTTCTCAGGGACAGGAGATAAAAAAAGGATACTGGCTTTCCCCCAGCAGGATGGCCAATGTCAAAGGAGACCCAAAAAACAGGCTATCTGSTCTCACTGCCATGAATGACAACATTCCCATTCAAAACAGATGGCTAGTTTTCGCTTAGGAGTTAGACAAAAGGAAGATTCAAAAAATTCTGGGGTGGGATAGGATTCCTGGCTGCTCCAATTTGCTCCAGTTCCCGTCTGGTTGCTCTTGGCTCCAAGGTGCTATTCSCATATCCCAAAACAGCCAGAGCTCAGATCCTGGCCCTGTCTCCCTCAGCAAAGGCTTTCAGTTTTAAAAGGCTCTGGGTAAAACACTGTTGCCAAACAGCAAAAATAATGCACGTTACACTGGATAGCTCCAATAAGAACCCGGCAATGGAGACTGGAGCCACAAAAGCTACGCTTTACAGGTTCAGCAGTTCTGCAGAAGGACCCTGTCATTTTAAAGAATACAGAAAAAAATAGAAAAGTCAGGAAAAAATTTATTTTTGCCTTTATTACAATATATAATTCTACCCTTGTTGCATTCAGAAGATCAAAATGAAGTGTTAAAATTATTTTCATCACTGCAGTAGCACATACATATACACAGTAAATACTGTATATAAATAGGCTTTCAAATAATAACCATATCTACAAATAAAAAATAATACCTCTTTCTTCTYCCTCCCAAAATTACAGCAGTAAYGTTTTATCTTCAGCATAACTAATGCCACAACATTCTTTCCCTCCCATGACACAGCTAGARTAGTGTGGTCATCAGCTTCAAGAAAATAAACATTAGTCACTCCTCACTACTGCATATTCTAGTTTCTGTGTATTGCATGAATAGAATATACTGTGATTTAGKGTGTTTGCATACTTATGTTAACAGATTCTTTCTGTAACAAAAACCAGCATTACACTGCAAGCAAGGTTGATTCTTTTTCTTTCACAGAAAGAGTAGCAATTTGTTAAACCATCCCTTTTTGTTCTACATGAATTAACAAAGCAGTTTAAATATTATGCTAAAATTAATCAGCCACCAAATCAAAATGTCTTATACTTTATGGAAAAGTATGGTGATGTTTGTAGCACATCAAACCCTTGATCTTCATATAAGTGTCTTTTTTGTGAATAARTTTGATAAAAGTTATAGAAACACAYATTCCTGACACTTGCACATTCCTGCTCAGCTATAATTCAGCTTTTGGATACAAAGGGGGATACAGCAAGTCAGGAGTGAAGCACTGAATGTCACAGAATCACAGAAATGTTGGTCARAAGGGACCCCTGGAGGTCATCCAGTCCAACTTCAGCTTTGAAGAAGATGGTTACCAACACTAGATCAAATCAGCCACAGCCCTGGATAATCAAACCTTGAAAAACTCAGGGACAGATTCTGCAGCACCTCAGGGTCACCTGTACCAGTGCTGCACTATGGCCATAGTCATACAGAATTAAAACAGTTCCTCATTCACGCTATTTGGATTTAAATACTAAAGGCAACAGACAACCCTGSATGGCCTATTTATTAAGTTATAAATAAATATATCACAGGCTTCAACTGGGGAGAACTTTCAGGGACCATCTTTTTTGGTGGGATGTTGTTTGCTGTGTGTTGTATCTTGGAAGAAGAGATTTTAGCTACTGTTAAGGATAAAAACCACAAAACTGACAGCCTGTCACTGAAGAGAAGGATCTGTTTTATTTTATTTTGTGTAATAAATGGATTGAAATAAGCCTTTACCAAAACTGAATTTAAATAGGACGCAGCTAGTACATTCATCCTTTTATGCAATCATTAATGACAAATATTAATAGATAATTRAAGTGTGACTATATTTAGGGATGCAACCATCTCAGTTTGGCAATCTGCAATCCCCACTGATTGTCTTCCAGAAAATCCACCCCWTATTTCTTACATCTTCAAGTAAAGAGATATTTGCATGTTCTTTAACCTTTCAAGAGAACACAATCGGTCTGGGTTGTCAAACACTCTTTATGTGTAATCCTGGTAKGTCCAAAGTGGACATTCACCTTGCCTGAAGCAGCAACGTTTACGTGAAAGGAAGACTTAGGAAGGGCTCTCCACTGCACACTGCAGCTGTGTAAAGCATTGCACTTATTTTCATTACTATTGAAGGCACAGAGAAATCATAAATTGGCCCACTAACATCCCAGATCAAGTCTTCAGTAGTAAAACTTAGAAAACTCCTACCATGGAGTTACCATCCTATCCACATTGCTATCACTCTTGACATGCAAAACTAGAATTTGCTGTTACAGAACAAATGTGATAACAGAGCAGCCATTTCCAAATTTCTGGGTGCTAACCAACCATAATCACRTCTTARAATTTCTCCTGRACCACTCRGCCTTCCTGTTATTAAACTCTTAARTGAAAACACTACAAARCAGCTGCAAAACATGTACCATAGCCTCATACCACAAGCTGGCAGAGACCACAGCTTGTGAACCACYAGTGTAGCCATACTGAAATACAACATACATAGAATCTCATGTCAGTGTTTCAGAGAAAAATCAGACTTTTCAATATATCTCAAAAGGAAAAAGAAAGTTTCTTTCATAACTACGACACGTCTGAAATAATTTGGCATGTGGGCACTTGGAGTCCATAGTTTAAGTACCACATWGTGTAAAGGCAGACCATTTGGAAAATGTTATCAACTGATCCACAGTATTGCTTTTAGTGCACACAGTTCAGTCTTAAGGCTGTCAAAAGCAATATCTACAGCTTGTGTCTGGATAAATAAGGAAAAAAAAAAGAAAAAATACATTTCATTACATTAAAGGAGAATAAATTGCACTAGAAGTATCCATTTGTTATGGTAGAAAACAAAACAAAAAAATCGATACAGTAAAAACCTGAGATGCATCATTCACCAGCATCAGAATTCACATTTTAACCAAAATAATATTTCAAACAAAACAATTCTATTTTGATAAAATCCACACTGTTTTGGCTCAGTAACAAATCTTCAACCTCAGCTGTGTGTGGGAAAGATGTGTTTACTGAAAATTRCCCACTTCACTAAGGTATACACAGTAGCCTGTATTTTCCACTTGCACACTTACCTTGATCCAAAAAGCTACTGTTAAAGCATACTGCTTCTCAAACTGAGAAAGACTGGAAGAATCTGGCCATCCTATTTCATTTAMTTTCTATTGAGATTACACATAATTTATTTCCTCAGAAATGTCCCATGTCAAARCAGGCTGGAATAAATCAAACACAGCTCAATTGGTTTCGACAGCTACACTGATTTACATCTGCTGAGGATCTAGACCAGTAATTAACTCTTAAACAAACAGTTGTTGGTCAAGCAAGGGGAGAAGGGAAGAATCATTTGCTTCTTCAGAGAGAAGAGAATTTTGATACACGGATTGCAATCCCTGTCCGTGCCACCAATGTCAGGAATGATGAGCACCTTCAGTTTCCTTACTGGCAAGGGGCTCTGATGGGATGAAAGATGCCTTCAGTGATACAGAACAGGCATGGAACCACGTTACAACCTTATGGCACATTCAACTGCAACTCCAACATCACTTCACTTTTAATTGATCTCATATCATGAAAGTGCATGGCAAAATTTGAGGAGCAGAGAGAGGATCTAGAAACGCAACTCCTATTCCTAGCAAGACTCCTCTTGTCTGGAAATCTGACTAAGTATTAAAAAGCATTCCTAAGTTTGCTCACAAYAAGAGATTATAATGCTCTTATAGAAGTACAACTTCCCAGATTCCAASTGAACTGGCAACAGCAAAAGCCAAGTGATGTCCTTTCAACACAAGCCAACCCACTGAGGTGAGACCACCAGTTTGGAGATGGGGTTAAGATGAGGCTGGATGTACATCCTGAGTTTCAAAYGGTGGCAGAGGTTCTCTCCAGTAGGTGAACTGGCTGTAGGTGTCAGAACAGGGGAAGTCTGAAGAATGGCTTCTTTTCAGCAAAGGGAAAATGTGATCTACCACTTCACAGAGTCTGACATAGCTGTAAAAGAAAAAAAAAAAAAGAACGCTGAACCATTTCACATCATCTTATTTTGAACTTATTTTAAGTTCCTAACCACTAAGGCATGACTGTTCTTACAAATGGACAAGGTGGACAYGGCACCCTCCTCAAACAAATAAAACTACATTTAATTTTGGTGTTTAGCTTCCAGAAAGGATTCACAGTTAGGATAAGAAATTCCTTCTAATTTGTTCATTCTAACACATGATACTCACCTAGTGAGAAACAGATGCCATTTTACACCCAGATCATCTGCTAAAATATTCAAGCATCACATTCTGCTTCTCCATTTCTGTCCAGCTTGGCTCAAGCAGCTCCCTGCTCAACTGATTATTCATATTTTATACACATATGGCTCTCCTTCAGTTAAGGACACTTAACATTACTAAAGGCCATTCCAGTGTTAGGGGTTACCAGTGCCTAAGCATCTTGCTAGGAACACTCTACTCTCTCTTCAGATTTTGTTTTCTGGCTCTTCTAGATAGGAGATCCAGGAAAAGGAAATTTTGAAGAGGCCAGGAAAGGCATATGGTGTCAGCAAACTAGTGAGTCTCATTTTTACGCAGACTAAATCATCCACTTCTAAATCTTTTACATGATTAAAGTAGATGGAATATATTAYACTAAATACAAAAGAATTCTTTTTGTCAATTTAACTAAAAGGAAGTAGAAAGTCTGCATTTTATTCTAATCCTTTTTGGTTTTSTTTGAGGTATCCTAAGGATTCTTTAATTACTTAAATCAAACGGATTTTGGGACAACTKGAGCCATAAGTTAGCACAGCAAATTAAGAATAAGAAATTACTTACGATGAGATGTTTGTCTTTGCATGCTCTTGTATAAGTTCTCCTTTGGGGTTAACTGTAAATATCCTGTTTAAAGAAACCCCCACTTGTTTGTATGAATAAACATCCTAAAAAGAAGATTTAAAAAAAAGAATTATGATTCTGCCTTTGCAAAATCATGTCTAATCTTGCTGGAATATATYACACAAAAGAACATATTTACACAATATTAGTACTAAATTTACCTAGTTACTGTGTGCCTGAAATTCTCCATTGTGTGACAAATGAGGTCAATCTAATGAAATGTTCATGAAACAGACAATTTGCTGCTAGGTAAGAAGTTTGCCACTTCAGTTTAAATTGTTAATCAAAATCAGGTTCATTTTTTCAGGAACCTCCCTTGACACAACAATGTTCAGTAAAAAACTGGTGATATTTGATGTAAAAGCATTAGCACCTTCATTTTTCTTTCAGAGAATGTTTAATTTCCTGTGTGTGTTCAAGTATGTTACAACAGTGTACAGAGGTTAAAATGTGACTGACACAAAAAACAGGAATTATTTTTTAAGGACAAGATCACAAAATTCACACTAAAACCATTCCATAGCTCCTGAGTTCAGATTCGTGGCATAATTATTTGCCATTACCCATGTCAGAGCAAGGGGAAAAGAAGGGTAAGCAAGAAATATATGCCAAAACAGCAGCAGTGACCTCAGCATGTAATGCAGATAAAGCTATGGGAAGTACAATTAGAAGTAAGAATTAAGAATGTCTTCTAAGAAATTCAGATTGTTAAGGAGATCAGTAAGTTTTGATCTGTTCTGAAGAAAAGCTTGACAAAACCAAAGCTGAAAATATCTCCCAGAAGATCAGAGCAAAAACAATCTCCATTTTCCTAATATAAAATCATGATCATAAAAGCCAAGGTGGTAAAAAATTGGATATTAATGGAGAAACAAATTTTGTTTTTATATTTACATTGTAAAGACTTTAAAAAAAATTAAGTAACTGAACAAAAGTGAACAGAAGTCACTTCAAGAATTCACCAACATGGCAGTTCACACACTGCCTATGCCTATAACATCCATGCGTATGGAAATTTCCCTGAGTCTGTTCTTAGAAAAACCAAACAAGACAAAAAAAGAAACCCCCCACAAAAAACCACAACAGAATATAAAAAACAACAGAAAATCCAGAGTAGAAATTTGAGAAAGCTGTGATCCTGAGCTTCACAAAGCCAGGGGCACATCACACACCTGAAGCCTGCACTCTGGCAGCAGGCATGGAGTGAGCTACCAGTAATTACTTTAGAAATTGTAACTTAGTGTTCTACTTGAAATTTTATTGAAATAAAGTCATTATTTAATGCATATTTCCCTGAGGTTCAAAAAAAATTGAACCAGAGGTAATTATCCGCAATATARCATCACAGAAGTTTTTAAACAGTTATTTCAGAATCATGTGTTTAAAGGTGCCTTGATAATGGAAATTAAACTGCTTATGATATAACAATTCAATATAGCAATGGGACAGTGAGGTCCTGTGCCACCACTGCCATAATGCTTTTAAAGAAGGGATAATCATGTGCCAGTTCCACACCTCAGCCCAAGCCCCTGAGACTGTTTCCTTTCCCAGATGCATAACAGTGTTTTGGCCCAGGGCAGGAGCAGGAGCCATCCACAGCCCAAACACCCACCCTTCCAATGGTGACAGAGGTCTGTCTCCCCTTCTCTATGTCAAATGCATCACTTTCSATACAAATTTAGAATTTGAAATATAAGTCCCACCAATATAAACCTGAAATATTTTCTGTCTGCCTACAGATCTCACTGACACTGTATCTGTGTTCATTAAAATGAGATCAGTGTTTCTACACAAGCTGAACTGCTAATTTATGCAGATATAACATCATTACTTTGCTGTTCTTCYATCTCTGAATCCTATATCAGGGTATTTTTGAGGAAGAACCTTAGTATTTTCTTTTGTACAGGGCCTAATAAAATATTCTTAATCTCATTTAAACCTTCTAGGTTTTAATACAACAGAGTCATGAAATAACAGCAATCTTTCTGTTCTCTGCAATAGAAATAAACTCAGCCATTACTTACAGCAGGTCTGTTTCCAAAAGCAGCATAAAAGGGTTCTGTGTTGGGATAAAACAAGTTTTTGATGTCTGTCAAACACTGAACTTTAAATTTTTCTGGCTTCTTTTCTATGACCTCCCTGAAACGATAAAAAAGGGGAGATGAGTAAGCACACACCAAAAAGCATTTTATTTTCTTCATTCAACATTTGCAGCTACATACTGCATAGCATCCACCCTTCTCCAACAAATCTTCTTTTAGGAGTCAGAGTGCCCATGAAAACAAAACAGTATTCCCAAGCTTACATAACGGGCACAGTAAATAAATTATCTGAAACAAGGGAACTTCTATTGAAACCTGCATTACAAAGATGGCTACTGAGCAAGGATGGTGGATTACTGAGAGKAGCTGCTAAATAAATCCTTATGAGGCATAAAATGTCATCACGTAAACTGCCTCCTGAGAACTGCAGAATGATTCACAGATTATATTAGCCCTCACTGTTTACAGTGCTTTTTTTTTTATATTTTATTTTTAAAAGGACTGCAATCACCATATGTGTTAGAAGCACCTCAGCCTGTTAACACAGAATTACAGTCAGGTTCTTCACCACTGCTAATTAGTAAAAGTTAAGGAATAAAGGAATCTTCTATTTCTCTTCAGCTGCTCCTTACAGAATATAGAATTCATTAATGAACAGAGGAGTTATCTCATCTCTGGGCAAAAGCCCTTTCATAACAGCTTCTCTTGGCAAGAAGACTGAACAGGTGGCAGAGTCTGGAGTTCCCATAACAYAGGAAGATGCCAGCATGACACAAAAGCACTTAAGAAGCTCAGAATCCAAGATCCTAGCACCAACACATATGTCAAGGAAGATGYGAATAGTACAGAAGCTTCACAGAAGTAAAGCAGCCCTTTGGAACAGCAGATCCATGTGTAAATCAGTGTCTGAGAATGTCCAAAAGACGAATAAAACCACCTTTCCTCAGTCTCACATGCACCTGATCTTAAACCTAAAAGGATTAAATCTATGGATAACAATGAAATCATATACTATCTACACACCTCAGCAGTTACAATAGTGTACACAGAAAGATGGACACTCCTTAGTCTAAACAAGACACCAAAAAGAGTGGCATTTTTAATGTATTTCTAGATATGAGGAGCACAAAGTAACAGTAACTACCCTTTCACTGCATTTCTTATTCAGTCTGAGAAGTGCACTGTAATACCTTCACGGTTTCTTATATTTAGAACATGACTGGTAAGACAGCCTGTAGCATGTCACTCAATCAGGAGAACATCTGAACAACCTCCCATTAAAAATTCTAATGAAATCTATCCTGTCACAGCAGCTTTTAACAGCTTAAAATATTTTCAGTAATCACTTGACATGCTTCGCTGAATTAGGCAGAAGGTACAATATTCATAATCTGTTCTATTATTATTCACTCACTGCAGTTCAACACCTAGAAAAGATAACATTGTCCTCACAGAATCCCAAACTGCAGTCAGGCATATAAAAAGTTCATTTCATTTTCACATTAATTTCTTCAAAACCCACCAAGAAATAATCTTCCACAAAAATATACTTATGCCAGTTGGAACATGTTACAGGTGAAGACAAGAATGATTGCTATGGAAATGTCCCCATGTCTCCCATAGCTAAATATTAACACACCATGTTAAACACATGAAGTCACCAAGCAGTACCCATTGGTAAACAGTGAACACAGCTGTGCCTCAACAGATATCTAAGAMACAAACTAAGCAAAAAATATATATTGAATATCTACTGAATTTAGGTCTTTCTCTAAAAAAAAATCATCTTAATTAAATTTTGCACCAATATGTAAAAAAAAAAATAAAATTCAAGCACTCCCAATTAAAAAACCTGGTAATTCAGAGTCCACCAAGCTCAGAGTTTCTTTCTATGTAAAAGTGAAACTGCATTACCTGTGAAGAGCRGAGAATAGGCTGCTTGGACTCAGCAAAACTGGCCCCTGAGGCAGCACAGTTCCTCTTTCATTGACCCAGTGCAAGTATCCTCTGGTCATGCCTGCCATTCCAATAGCACGTGCTGAGCAGTACAAAAATTTATATCCATTTCTGTGAGCAGATATAAAAGAAGAAACTACTGTAAAAATAAAGCAGGTGTTTAGATATTAAAATTTTGTGGGTTTACTTTTACATTAATAAAATCATGACTGCTAAAYAGACTTATGTTTAACGTAGACTTAATTTAAAAGGAGTAAAAACATTTATGCCAGAAAACTGGATAATTAAAACCTGTCTAGCTCCACTGCATTTAGTAATTACACCTAAAGAGGGCTCATTTATCTCTGCTCCTCTCAGGACTTAGGACTTCTTATGGCTTCCCATCCACCCTTGTGGGGTGGAACCACTGTCCTTAGAATAAACTGAAATGACATCGGCAAAGAGGAAAACACTTGGCATAAAGCAATGGGACACAGGCCTTTGCTGTATTAACAGTGCTGCATTCCTGCCTCTTGGGCCTCTGCAAAACAAGACCAGTCTAAGAGCAGCAGTAACACACTTCCTCAAGCTGGAACAAATCTGAGCTTCAAAATACAGTATGAGAAATAATCTTTAACTTGAYACTGAAATAAAAGTTTTGGCATAAGTCACAGGTTGCCTTTGATTCTGCTCATGAGAACAGAGTTGTATCRGATATTAGTTCAACCTACTAGCAATTTACTTTCCAGTTCCTATTAAAAAATTACTGTTCATAAAATAAAGAAATAGTGTATTCAGTGCACGCATGGTCATTAGATCTAACTATTAAGCATTTATACGGTGTTCAGCTGTAATATCTAGCCACTACATAATTAACTCAGTAATTTGAAAACCAACATGACTCAAATCTATTTTTCCTCCTATGTTTATGATCATCAAAGCCCTAACAACTGATAACGCTGACAGGCACAGAAATAACAACTGCAATTAAAAAAATTAATTAACATTTTCACCAAATGTAATGCAGAGGTTATACACAGAACTCAGCAYGTGAATTCCCAGGCTGTCCTGTCTTTTCTGTGAACACGTATGTCTAATGCAGACAAGAGTCTGGCATAATTTAGATTCTATCATCCATAATTTATAATTCATCACCCATGTAAAACAAAAAGCAATAAACGAACCTTAGCATAACCCTAGTACACAGAACAAATCAGATTAACTAAGAGGAGAGTTGTGATGTGTACCGGAGGTTCTTCGAACGTTTAAGGTAATTTGAATACATAAGAAAAGCTGACATTAATGCAATAGAAGAAAACAGCAATCAGTAATCCTCCTTGTAAAAATTAAAATAAGATACTTCATCTGATCCCATTCAGACATCAATTCATTCTTCATTTCCTTTTTTCTCTCAATGGGTAATTACAAAAATCACCATACTCTTTGATCTTCCAGTGTACACAGTGGCTTGACTACATTGTAAAATGTATCTGGGGAACCAACAGTACACTTGTACTTTTGCACTGGCCTAGCTCACCAAGAGACGTTCCCACACATGAGCTAGGACAGTCTAATTGTTTCTCTCCTGTTCATCAGAGAACATATTCACCAGAAGAAACATCCTTTTTTTTTTCAGAGGAAGCATCCTCATTTTTTTGGAATAAATTGCTCAAGGTCATACCTGGATATAATATTAATGACATTAACTGACCTGAAGCACAGCTCATATACTGTTGCCTGGTATTTCTTCAACAGCTAATGGAACAAAATATCTTTTTCTAAACATGATATAACAGCCACAAGTAAACATGATGAATCYAAGTCCTTTACCAGCTCCAATGGCATGGAAGGTATTTATTACYGTGGACAGGTTAGTTACTGGRCTATAAYAYAGCAACCAAAGCAATGATGTTGTCAGGTTAAAGCCTTTTCCTTAGGCCCTGACTTACAATAACCTCAAATGCACTTCAAGCAACTTTTACTTATCACCTACTCTCAAAATTAACCAATGACAAAAATATTTTAAGACTGATCCCTCCTAACCTTGCAATTTAACTATGGATTAGCAACACTTACATACAGAAATAAAAAAAATAAATTCTATAATCAGCAGATCATCATCCATGTCTTTGAAGCTCATCATTATTTACACAACAMACAAAACAACAATAATATTAACACTGAATATCCAAAATGGATAGATTTCTAGCCAAGATAAGACACTGTGCTGTGGTTTAAGGATGAGATTTATCTTGCCTGAGTAGAAGCCTGATGTTTAAACAGCTCAAATCCAAGCTGCTTCACTGACCTCCCTTTCAACTCACTGGAAAGAAAGGGAACTCCCCTAAACAGATTTATTCCATATGTTTTAGGTTCCATCCCTGTATGACTCCAGGTAAGTCAAGTTTAGCAAGAAGAATTCCACCTCCACTGACCACCCTGGGCCACAGAGTCTTTACACATTTCACAATCTCCTCAACAAGAAGTGAAGGGAAAGTGTATTATTAGCATCTTACAAATTAATACTGCTGCAATTCCCAGTTTGCCAAGTTACACTTGCTGCAACTGCATAACTCATTCAAATTACTACAGACTTTGGAACTAACTGTCAGTATCTGTTTGGGATAGCTGGAAGAGCAATCACTATTCGTAGATAGGGAGCTTTTGCTTTTAGTAACACAAAGCAGGTTTTGCTTTGGATATCATGCAGCAGATGTTTACACTGTGTAAGCATCACTTAAGCAACAAGATATCAATGAAATTGTCACCCTTACAAGAGAAGGTTAAGAGAAGACAAGAAAAATTTTATTTTTTACATACAAATGAATAAACACAAACAAGCCATGGATCCATGAACCAATTTACTGAATACTCACTGGCTCACTTTATGGTACAACTTTGCAATCCCTTGGTGTGTCCAGTCTTTGCCAAGAGTTGGCAAAATATGACCTAAGGTATCTGACCTGAATAAAGGAAAAACAATATAATTGAATTGTTAAAAAAAAAAATGTATAGTAACAGTCAAGTCTAATACAAACCCCACAAAMCTACCTGGCTAGCTGCAAATGAAAATACAGTTTTCTATAAGGGGCTTTTTGTCATAAGAAGAGAATTATTTTTATTCCCCTTTTTTTGAGATAGTCTAACATGCTCATCAGTGGCCATGTTTTAATTACTCCTGTGTCCCAAGATAGGTAAGCTTGTGACCCACAAGGTAATAAGGCAGTTACAGCACACAGGCCATCGATCAGACCTCTAGGAGGCCACCAGTGCTAAGCATACTTTTTGAGGTTTACATTAAATGTTTTCTAAATAAACCAAACCCACCCATAAGGGAAGTTTATGGGAAATTGAAAGTATGAGGTAAGTCACATTCTAACTTGCTTCAAACTAACTTTTCCACATTATATGTGACCAACTCCTGGCTTAAACTATTTTGAAATATTTATTCTGGCTTCAGCGTTATTTCTCACTTTATGTGAGAGAAAATTATTCACACTATAATAACAAATAGTGCAAATTAGCATATTGCTTGACTAAGCATTGTACAGATACACAGCAAGAAGTCCACACCCTGAGTAACTTGCATCTTAGAGGAAAAAATATTGAGCAGCAATTTAGGATGATTTGCTTTGGTATTGTAAGGTGAAGTGATTCAGTAACTCTGGGCAGATCAATACGAGTGAGAATAGATCCCATTCAATTTACTGAAGAAAGCAAAGTGGGGAGAGATTAATTACATTGGCACCAAATGAGAAGTTAGATATACAATGGAAAAAACACAAGAGAGTTTCAGCTTAAATCAAGTATTTTAATTTCTCACAGATTGCTCTTCAAAATTATTTTTCCTTGTTCTTTTTCCTAATTACATATAGGTTTGATTTTGAAAGGAATTTATTTCAAAACAAATTTAAACATCTCACTTCAAAAGACAATCTTGTATTTTTATTTTGTGCTTTCCCTGTTCCRCACACAATTGTTTTCCCCAATGCTAAATAGAATAAATAAATAGAAATCAGGAAGGTGGTAAAGCATTTTGGTCACTCCAAAATTGTGAGTTTTRCCCAAAGTTCTAATCTGAAACTTTCCATCAGATTCTAGTTCTGACATCGATTTTGGAGTCTAGTCTTCTAAATAATAACACTTCTCACTGGAATGCTCAAAGAAGGCTTTTTAAAAGAAAATTCACATGTTTTTTTCTCTGTAATTACTCCTTCCTATTTAATTCCTCCTTTTAATTACTACTTCCTTCATAAGTATGATGCAACAAAAAGATTAGGATTTTGCAGAAGGCCTTCCAACACTGCTGTAAATTCTATCATGGAACACCAACAGGTGACAAATAATTGGCCCATATGGCATGTGTCTTTATTAAATTAAGAATTCAGCTAATGGTTCTTGYATTGTTTGAAATACAAATAATTTTAAACCAACAAGAAATAAAACCTCCCAAAACACTGGAATATGAAGATTCTGTGATTAACATTCCCTGCTAACTACGTTTTCYTTTAGACTAAAGGGCAACTTGTCCTTGCATACAAAGGCTCTCCCTGCTCACCTTGTGATTGTTCCGTCAATGTCAGAAATAACAACTTTATCATCCCAATTCCACAGGTAAATGGTGCCTTCACAGCGGCAGGTGCCTTGATACTGGGTTGTTACACTAAAGGTCACATCATTGGGGCCATTCTTGAGCTTTAGGCTTTTCTGCAAGACATTATCAGCAAGCTGATCAACAATGGGAAATGGATGCAGTGTAAAAGTCGCAGATGATCATTGCCTTGTTGTATCTGGCTGGGGAAATTGGTGTGGATTTCTCCTCCCATAAAGACAAACGCATTTGCAGGATTGTCTTTACCCAAAGACCAGGGTGTACTTGGGTGATAGTGCAGAAAGAYAGGGAGACCCAGGGTGTGCCTCAGGGATATTTAACCTTGAGGGAAAAATAATCTCAGGTGTAAACTGTATGTCACAGGGAGCAAAGTAGCAGGAATGACATTAACTGATGAAGAATGAATTTTGCAAGGAGCAAGGGCAATGTGATGACAACCCAAACTGGGATAGTGTTGGTGTCCAACAACCAAGCGTACTGCTTCTCCATTCCTAAGCATCCATCCATGAGCACTCACAGAATGGAGCTCAAATCATAAATCTGGAGGGGTGGAAGAAGCCCATGAAATGGGAAAGTATCTGTGAAAGGACAGGGGATAGTAGCTAATGAAAATATTTGTTTGGTACAGAGATGGTTTACAAAGGTAGCTAAGTTGTATGTGTGGGTAAGAAAGAATTTCAGTAATGAGAAATAAATACAATGGAACAGTTAGACGATATATGAATTATGCAGGAACTGAGTATGACACAAATGCTATGGAATAAGAGGTGGAAATTGTATTGGGTCTGGTCGAGCTGGAGCTCATTTCCCCACAGCAGCTCTCCCAGTGCCCTGCTTTGCACTGGCAGCTGGAAGGTGCTGGTAACACACCRGTGCTTTGGCTGCTGCTGAGCAGAGCTGGCACAGCATCAGCACAGCCTCTCCAAAATTCCCCCACAGCAAGGGACTGGGAGTGGACAGGATCCTGGAGGGGACACAGCCAGGCCAGCTGACCCAAACTAACCAAAGGGGCATTCCTCCATACCATGTGACATCAGCTCAGATAAAAAAGTTAAAGGAAAGAGAAGGAACAGGGGGCACTGGTTATTTTATAATGTTTGCCTTCCAGAGCTRAAGCTTTGCTTTCTGGTAAGTGGCTGAACATCCCTCACTAGTAGGAAGTGGAATAAACTTGTTTTTCTCTTTGCTTATCCATCTTATGGTCTCTCCYCTCTCCCACTGAGAAGGGGAGTGATAGAGGGGCTTGGCTGGACACCTGGAACCAACCAGTCAACCCARTGTGGTCACACTGAATTTTACTGCTTTCAGCAGAGCTTTTCTAAGTAACAACAGCAGAGGTTTACCCTATGCCATGTGTATTAGGCATTGATTTACAGAACAGAACAAAACAAATAGACAAAAATATTCTGTTTCACAATCAGGTATATTTAAAAAAAAATCCCCAAATGTCCACATAAACAGTAACAAATGAGGGAATAGGGACAACCTGCAGGGGTTTTCCATTCTGAAAGACAGATATACATGCAGAGAGAAATGTAAGGAACAAACAATTCCATAAACTCTAATTAAGAGCTTTTCTATGGGGATTTGTGTTCTACAGTATTACATCTCTTTTATGCAATAATTGACCTCTCACACCAGATGAACTGTTATCCTTCAGCCTCCAGTAAATATCCTTAACTCTCCCACTTAGCTGCTCTTCGCTGTCCCCTGTGCTGCTTAGTGACATGCAGGACAAGAGGGTACTGATTAGATTCTATTTGACGACCTAACTGTTCATTTTCCCAAGACCTGTAGGAATTTAATGCACTTGTGTATCTTTTCCTTTGTTACCTTTCACTGCAATTTTTCAATTTGTTAAAAAGTGAAAAAGAGATGAGAATACACAACAAGTGATGGGTAATTGATGAGTCTCACCCACCGTTTCATCAAGAAACCAATTTAAGTGTAGTTTTAGTTTCAGCTAATTTCTGCAAGGTTTCTGAAACTGAAAAGTCCYATTTTATTTGTGTAACCCCTGCTTTCTCTTTGTTATAGAAAATTACCAACACATCCCATCTGTCTCTTAWGAAAAACTGCATTTCTTACAAATTATCCAGGCAGTGAGTGATGGGTTGTTTAATGCTGTGTGCCTTGTGCAGGTTTACTTCAGAAAATTAATTGTCTGTACCTAAGATGACAAGAAGTATTTCCCTAAAGTAGCCTGTTTTTTCCAGATTAAATTGAAATGTACAGAACACAAAACTGTAACAGTTTTGTCATCATTAGTCAAAACACCTCTGTCACAGAGGAAGAGAATTGGCTTCGAAGAAATTAATAAGCTCCAAATAAATCAATAGGGTGGCCTCATACTAAATTCACAAGCAGCTCTTTCAGAAGTTGCTAACAGAAAGCAGTATTTATGCAAAATGCCTACAAATGAGAGAAAATGAAAGATAGGAAAAGAAAGAAAAGAGCTCTGTTATATGCACATTTCACATACTACAAAAAAGGATGTGGTTCCAATACACTTACTCCAGTGACAAATATACACTTTGGAATTTAATTTTGATATTTTTCTAAATGAGATCCCATCTCCAAACCCCAGCACTTGCTGCAAGGGACAACATTCATGCTTAATACAGAAAAGAGAAGGGAAAAGGCTTTCATGAAAATTATAATGAGAGAGAATTAAATGCAAGACATAAGAGCCAATTAAGCTTTGAAGCCTGAATAACAGTAAAGGTTTGTGTTGAATTAGAAATGACATTTCAGGACAAGGATGTAAAATTAACTCACAAGCTGGTCAGAAGTGAGTCGAAGTGACTTTTTGTAACTGATTCCAGACAATAATGAGAGATGACTGGAGTTTGTTTGTAATGACCCAAGGTTTTCTTTGGCAGCTCTAGGGTCTTCATCGCTTGAAGAAGATTCATCTTTTATTCTGGAACATTGCACACACAGAAAATGATGTTATCATGCCAGTAAATGCATCTCAGTATCCATTAAAAATGCATTAACAGTGAGTCACCAAATAAGTTCATTGATTCTCTGCTACTGAGTACTGTCTCACAGGATATCATTCACACCATGAGTTTTAATATATCAATGGAGTACCAAACTTCCATTCATACATTCCCTATTATTCAAACTTGGATTTTTACAGGAAAACGAAAGTTTTCAATACTTAAATTTAATAAATATAAATTAATGTGCTATATAAACTCAAAAATCCCACAGTGATAAAAAAATACCCATTAGATATCATAACTACAAAAAATCCTCTGTTTTCGGGAGAAGAAAGAGGCACTTGTTATGCTGACTTTCTCCTCCCCTCTTCTCTCCTCCCCCAAAAGAATTTGAAAATTAATTTTAAAAAAAATGTAGGTTATGGAAATTTTATTCTACAGAATAACTCCTCCTTTCCTTTCAATGAGCAATTTAAGATAACTGGATTATTCTTTTCCAGGATTTGCAGGATTACCGTGTTCAGAATACAATCATGAAAAGTCATAAAACCTGAGCTCCCTCACACTATTCTGCTGAAATACACAATGGTATATAACTACTTTTATTCTGCTACAGCCATCTTTTAGAACCTTGTTAAGGATATCTTTCCTCAGAAAGAAAGATTTTTTTTTCCTACAATAAAGATTTTTTTCCTGCAGTAAAAAATTCTATCACTGTCGGTGTAAGTTAAAATACTCTTTCAGATGCTACAAATCTCATCTTTAAAATAATCAGTATTTGGCCTCTTATTTCAATCACACCTGGATGTTGTTTGAAGTTAGAAGTCTTGACCCAATATCAAGGTACTTCATGTCATGACTAGCAACATTCAAAAGCCTATCTTATCCTTTGTGACATTTGATCGCAAAAGCTTTACTCAACATTCTACTTGTCACATTCTGCTTGCAAACAATGAATTTTTAATGAGAGACTTCTAAGGCCAGTTAAAATTCAAGCAAAGAACACCAATTTCAGAATCTAGCCTGCTTGAAGTCTTAATCCTACTTTAAATTGTATCTTTAAACAACCATATATCAAACAGACCTACGTGTCACTTGTCATCCTTAAAAAGAAAATCAGCCTTTCCAATTTACTCTGTGGTTCTCAGTCTCAGAGAGGTAACGGACATAGCAATTGATCTACAGAATGAAGAATCCTCCTTACAGCACATATGTCTGGACTGCAACTGCTGACCACCATAGAGAAGAGCAGCTTTTTGTTTCAGAAAGGTGACCCCTGAACCTCATTTCATGAGCATAAAGCATATTTGAATCTGGCCCTTTTCAGCTGTAACTGCAGCCAGCACACGAACAAACTGTCTTTACATCAAGGTTTGTATGCACAGAAAAGGGGCAAGGTAGGAGAGCTGTCCCTGGSTAACTCATCCCTCCAAAGCAAACTAAAGCTCATCTGATGGAGCCCTCCAAGGTGAGAGTCTGGCTATACAGTATGATTGGTTAGCAGCACAAGAAGGAATAGACTTCTGCAATCCTCAAAAGAAGTACAGAAAATCATGACTATTGCCTGTGAAAAACAAGCTGGAAAGTCCCTTAACTTTCCAAAATATGCAGGAACCAATTAATTTGTCAGTCCATAAATCTAAGTAAATCAAATATTTTAGCAACTGGGATTTGACAACAGCATGGGTTCATCTGTGATGTTCCTTCTAAAACTCTAGAGAAATGCATGTAGCTTTGGACAACTGCTCCAATTACAGTTCCTTTCCAAGGGGCTGGAATGTGTCCCAGAGCTGCCAGCCAAACCACAGAAATGCCAGAGTGCACTCACAAGGTCTGCAGCCCTGCCATGGGTAAGGCCCTCCTATCTGCACTTATGTAGTGCAGTAAGTAAAAAATTAAAATTATTTCACTGACAGAGTATTTCTTTGTTCAAATGGATGTGGTAATWTGCTTTCATTTTTAAATGGCAACTCTTGCTTATTTCAGGTATAGATGACTTTGGGGGTACCTGTTTGCCCTGCTCATCTGTGAAGAGTCTTCTGTAAGTCCACYCTCACCTTGCTCTGGCTTTGTTTCCTGTAAAAAYACAAGTATAAGTAGCTGTGCATCTCTCTCTGTTGAGCAGAAAGCAAATGTTTTYAGAAAAGTATTTCAAAATCAAATTCTGCCTTGTACAGACTTAGCAAAAGTCAACAGCATGTTTGTTTCCTTTGCTTGTAGGCAAAGTAAAACCCTTAAAAAATCAAGGCAGTGCAAAGAACTAAAAATTGCAACTATAAAACTCAGAAGAATAATTAAAATTTAGTTTTGCAGGGAAGACATAAAAAAATATCAGATTTTACATCTAGTAGTGTTGAAKTTCTGAGATCTACTCCATAGCTACACAGTTCATACACCTGAAATAAACAGACTTCACCTGAAAGCATGACTTTGAGAAGGAAAAAAAATAACCCACAAATTACCTTTCACAGAATCATTAAAATCTTTAATCTAGTAAAACATTCCAAACTGCTCTTGAGTAGATGCTGAACACTRTCAAAGTCACCCTACAAGATTTCTAAATAGTAAATAGTTCTACTTTAAATAGCTCCATTTAAAGCTGCCAGAGCTTAAGAGATAACCAAACTTCCAAAGTAAATTCCAAATAGTCCAAACTATAAAACTAAAATCTCATGCTCTGCAGCCTATACCCACAGATCAGTACAATGGTTATTTCATGCAAGGCTAAAGAAGTTCTTGACTGAGGCACAACCATAAAATTGTATTAGAAGTCATTTTCTCCCTTCAAGTACTAATTCTTCAGCAGTAAAATTAATATGAAGAGGTTTTACTAGCCAACTTTAAATATGTCTAGACAGGAGATCAATATTTCATATAAAGCTTCGACTTTTTCAGTTTTCTAATATTCATCCATGACTCTAAGATTGTTAACACAAAATTTAAAGCTCAGAAAAGAAACTCAGAAAACCTTGCAAACCAAATATATATACTAAGTTTTCCATCTTAGGTTTTGCTGAGTTTTACAGCACACACTACTCATAAATGTCTGCTCTTCAGCTATCAAAAAAAGATGCAGACAGGTAGGTAATCCGCAAGAAAACTTTAAATTAGTGACACAACTCTTTGATTCTAGGTTCCCAAATAGAGATTTAATACATTAGATAATACCGCCTCTGATTTGTGAAATGAAAATAAAYGCAGAACTGAAACTCTTTAGGCAAATGTTTCAGGTCGGGTCTAATCCAAAGCTTTCTGAATTCAAAGCAAATCAGGCTTCAGAATGTGTTGAATGTGTATATTCTCAGTAAAACTGAATACCAAGCTACTGTCTGAAGTGAAGTTCTGGGGGATGAATATGCAGYTATCCAGCCTTCCCAATGCAACCAGAAGGAAACTCTGCTTGCTTAAACTTACCTCTTTAATGGTGCTGTTCCTCCCTCGCCATGAAAACCACCACCTTCCACCTTTTTTGGGCATCTTGTCTCTCATTATAGATTCCACAGTTGCCTGTGATAAATGGATGGTAACATAAAAGAGGCCCAAAATAAAGGACAACCTGACATACGTAAATGAAAAAGTGCCAAACACACAATTTTAACTGATAATAAATAGAATAAAAGTAAACATACTGTCTGTGGACCATAAATTCTACTAAAGCAAAATCTAATGGTATCCAGAGCTGCTCTGAAGTAACTTAAGCATGAATACTTATGGTATTTTTAAAAAGAAAGTGAAAAAGAAAGGAAATCGAAGAAGAAAAAAAAATATAAAGAGATATTAGTATTATGTCTAGAATGGAGAATTAAGTTATCTAGTACAAATTATATGTAAAAAAAAGAAAAATATCACTTCCTGAAGGAGGCATCATGCAAAACAGTAACAAACTGGCATGCAAGAGAGTTATTCACAAAGTTCATATTTAATCACCAGCTTAGGAAAAAAGCAAAGTTACTAGGTTGTATGAGTTTATGAAATATAAATTTATGAATTATCATGCCATGAATTTGACTGAAAATGTTTAAATTGTTTCTTTCATAARCCTTTTCTACTTTTCTACAATCGGTTCTACATACTAGACACCACCAGAGAAGTTTCTTTTAATATCCATAATGCCTRGAGCCTTATGCATTGTAACAAGGAGAGCTGGATTCCTTCTCTCAAAGAAAGCAACAGATGAAATGGGAAAATATTATGGTAAAAATGGCCACTGGGTTTGGTACACCCTAGAACAGCTTGGACACTGTATTTCTGGGATAATAGCTTCAATTGAAAGCAAAGTCACCAAAAGAAAGCTGTGATTAGCGATTTTAAAAAATATTTTAAAAAAAATCTAAGAACTCTTAGCATTCAAGAGAGGGGGCTGTATTCAGATAATGTGTGGGGCAATGGATCCCTTTTCTCAGTTTTTCCATAGGCTCTCTTCCCTATATTATCTAAAGTACATAAGAAAAAAAAAAAAGAAGGAACAGAGGAATAAAGTACAGCTTTTCAAACAAAATGAGAAAAACAGGGAGCAGATGGAGCTACTGAGAACTGAGTGCCACCATTGAGAACAACAGTTACAATTTAAGGAGATTCTCAAACATGTCAACAACTTCAAGCAGATGTCCTATAAACTTTTAGTGAGGGAATTCACATGCCTACAATTAGATGTGCATTTAAGTACATTTTACAAAACATAAGTGAATTTTTTTTGCAAAAAACTTCCACTTTCAATCACTTCATGAACTCTGTTTTAATAAAGTGTCTCAGTCTTTCAATTCCTTAGTTTCATTATTACTGCAAATCAAAACTGTAAGTAACAAGTCATGAAGAAAACCAGTAGAATGACTGGTAACATAAATGATTCATTTTAGTTTCAGAGGTACAATAAACCAAATAAACCTTTCCAATCATAGACACTGTTCCAACTATAAATACAGGCTTCTCCACTAAATTAAAACTCACTCTCTAGAAAGCAATCAGCATCCAGAATATAAATTAACCACTAAAAAAATCGCAAACACATTGAATTTCATTCTCAGAGAAGTTTTTTCACAAATAATAACCCATATGACTAATGGCATAAGTATAATGCTGTTGAAAGAATTRCCATCTCCTGCAACATTATGGAAAAGTATTTGATAACAATTCTTTCCATTTATCCATATGAAACATAGGCAAAACCCAAGACATCTGGCTCAGGCTTCCAAGTATTTAATTTAAAGTATTTTAAGTATTTAATTTAAAAGGCAGTCACATTAATTTTATTGCCACAGAAGACCCAACAAGCCCCTATCAAGGTCTGAATCACACTGTAGGAGCACCCAACAAATACAGAGTAGGATAACTACAAATCTTCAGTGGGCATTTGAGACCCCTGGGATGAATCCCACCCACTTTTGACGACTACTAGAACATTTGCAGTAATGCATGAAACATCTGGCTCTGWGACATCTTTGAAATTCAAGCCAGGTTTACCAGATACTTGGGACTTTTATGTTCAATTTATTTTACTCTGGGCGGAACCATGCAGCTGCACATGACTGCACATARAGGTGGCACTAAGAAAAAAACACTGGCAGAAAACATTCTGGGTTTTCAAGAAACTTTTAGTTCAMCATGATGGTAACAGAGATAGCATTTGAATTCACACAGAACAAACCCAAAGATATGTGAAATGCTGCAACTGGCAGGAGGAAAGTTTAGGTTCCAAAATTTATTAAATCCATGGCTAACCAAGACGGAAAAGTGCCAGTGGTGATATTACTTCTTTATATACATTTACAGTATTTCTGTCATGAGCACCTCTGTAGAACCAGGTCCTGTGGAATTGAACTTATTTCTTCAACAAATTTATTTATAAACAATATAAGCCAACACACAGTCATCACACAGTCATATCTATCTGGCACTACCTACCTGAGTTATGAACAACCASCTGAGAAACAAAAAGCTAGCAAGCTGCAGGCCTTCCTCATCTAGTAGTTAAAGCGTATTGACTGAGGTTACTTATATTTATTTAATAATATATGCTGTATGCATATAAAATGGAAAGCAAATACCAAGTATTCAGCTACAGCAAACACTAACATGGGTCAATATAATTTATGTTTATAATCCATATTAATGAAGTAAAAAATAAGTTTTCCTTCTTCAACATAGTTGTCATAACTTTAGCCTAGTAAATAAACACTATTCACAGACCAAACTTAGTCCTTATTTAGTCCATAACATAAGATAGATGAATGGCTATGTGTTGGGTAGACTTTGCTGATGTGCAGATTCTCTTGTAAACAACCCATTTCCCTCCCTTAATCCATGGCAACATTGCAAAACTCCTCTTACCAGCCTTCCTGTTCAATCTTACCTTTGGCAAAGGTTTCTGGAAAGCCTGCATTGCCAGCAGAAGGGGACCAGCTGTCGTCCAGTTGTAGTACCTGGGCATGCAAAAGAGACAATTACTGCATTTTGTAATCCAAGGGCCCAATTCACTAGCTACCTAGTACTTGCCACCTGGCAGGTTAAAGCCATGAAGTACAGGTCAAATTCTGGCCTGCACTAGCAATAACAGATCCATCTTACTCCACAGTATGTTCGCAGGTATTTACAGCACATATTTTTCAGGGCATGCAAGAGAAGCTAGGCCTTGAGGATAAAGGGTATATGTCACATATTCCTCTAATCATCACAGAATAACAGAATGGTTTGGGTTGGAAGGGACCTTAAAGATCAACGAATTSCAACTCATCTGCCTTGGGCAGGGACACCTTCCTCTAGACTCACCTCAGACCACAGAGARGGTCAGGTATGAGGCTGCAGCACACACAATACCAACTATCACCTGGTACACCAGCCTTGCATGAGCCATGTCTGTGCCTAAGGGCAGCCCAACTTGTAAGTGCAGCACAAAGCCACGATCTCTCCTCTAACACTGTTCGCCAGGTGCAAGGAGCTCCCAAGTTAAAGAATCCCCCAAAAAGCTGCATCTGGCATAGACCACAGCACTGCCCTGCTGCCAGCAATAGAAACATCTGAAATACTGTCTTAGCCTTGCAGAAATGCAAGTCTCCTACTCAGTGGGTGAAGTTTGACAAATCTTGAAATGCACTGCCTCCACAGAGGCATATTAGCAAAACATTCAGTATATACAAAAAATCTGCTTGATACTGAGTGAYTGCAAGCAGACTGACATAACCCTGTAAATATTAATTATTCAAACTGGCTCAGRGCAAGCCTTAGCAAATTCACATCATATTTAATTTTTACTCTGTCAATTGAATGCGAATATTATTAGCATTTAATAGCAGCTTCTTGAAATTCAGATTGTGTCAGCTAGCTGTAACAGGTCGCCTGAAACTGCTCTTTCAATTTAAAGGAGAAGAGGTAACTAGAGGTACCTGAATTCTCCAGGGAGTTAACTMTTTCTGGATGAATCCAAGCTACAAACATTCAAAACCTGGTTTTCAGCTAGTTATACTGATGTAATGCACTGAAGTGGCATGTAATTGTCTTTGTTACAACAGTATTTTTTTTTAAATATACTTACTTATTTCCAATCTTAACCACAAGATTAGGGTCATCAATGATAGCAGGATTGTCCACAAACTGCTGATATGTTACTGCATGTTCTAAGAATTCTTCTGTGGGGGGAAAAAGTTGCATTTGTAAAGCATGCATCTATAAATGCCCGGCATGGGTGGACCTAAACCTCTTAGCACCTCCCAGACAGATCAGTAAGAGACTGCTGAGATGTAACTGCAATATGCAAGCAAGTTGTTCAGAGACTCTCAGTCTCAGGTGATGATGAGGGTTTCTTTGTTYCTGGATGTATTTCCTTTCAAAATACAATCTAAAGAGAAAGCTCAGGGAYGGAAATGTGAGGGAGGAAAATTTCCTTCTAGAAAAGTTATATAATTTACAAGTGATTCAGATGATAATATGACTCAAAAAAGTCACAGTATATTTGAAATGTTATAATAAGTAGCTTCTGAGCAGCAGTCAGTGTAGCGTCAGGCTCATATGATTTTATGATGCCACATTACTGCAGAAAGTGCAAGTCTTAACAYATTTATCTTCACATTATGCCACTGGAAGTTTAAGGCATAGAGTATTGTAATTTATCTAAATGTTACACAAGAAACTGGAGGTAGGGYAGGAAGTCAGGTTAAACTTTTTAACTCTCTCTCCTCATGTCCCCATTTACAGACCACCTTTTTCATTCTTGACTCCAACAGCCGTGCATTTCCTAGCTATCAACTGTACTAAGTGGCWAAAATACCATTAACACTACTGTGATAAAAACAGCACTATCAGGAAGTAAAAATACCAATAAAATACTTCCAAAATTTTCATATACAGTAGATTGTTCAAATGTGTTAAAAATCCTAAGTCCTATGTGCGGATGGCAAGTTCTAGGAAGTTTATCATAACACCGCCAGTATTTATCTCCCAACACAATGCTGAGCACAGCCACAGGAGGGCTCTGCAGCCTCAGGCTGGGAAGCTCAAACCCAGCTGCCAGCACATGTCTGCAATGCACAAAGTCAGCCCGTACCTTTGGTTATCTCTTTGTTCTCAGTAAGGCCTCCGCAGCGAGAAATGGCAATGGAGGGCAAATCCCGAATTCCATCCGAGGTGCTTTCAGCTCCGCTGTCAACCCCTGAGCTGCCGACAGACTGCGGGGAGTGGCTGGCTGACCGCGGCCCCGCGTCAGCCGTGYTCTTGCTTTGGACATTGTCCCCGCTGGAAAAGAAAAATCAGGAATTCAACCTTTATATCTTCATTCCCAAATTCAGTCCCTTCAACAAGTACTGCTTATATTTGATACACACTTAAGAATAAAAGAAAAAATAAAAAGAATTTCAATTTGACAGCAAAACAAAACAAAGTATTATAGGCCTCATGTACCCTCAAATATTAGATTGCTCCTACTTACTTGCCTAAACTAGGCATGTGTAATTCTAGCTTCATTTATTTACAAGAACTAGAAAAATAAGACAATAAATTGTATRATCTTAGTAGACAAAATAATGCCACAATAAGCAGAGTTTATACTAGTAGAATTGTTCCCACACAGGAACAATCAAGCAATTACAAAAATAAGCATATTAGTTTATTATTTAATTTATATTAACTACATAAACTGATAGCTAAACCCAAACAAACTATGTATAKATTTGTGTGTTTATGTGTCATGTATATATACATAAAACGTTCTACATGTAAACTGTTAGGATTAAAATTTAAAAAGCAATAAATCATTATACCCASTTAAAATCTGATGAGATCATTATTGCAAAGTGCAAGCTTATGAAACTCTGCTTTCCACTCCAGATTTATATGAATGCATTTGACAAAGAAATTTTCAATCCAACATTTTCGCCATATAACTAATCCTTCTCAGTTTTATTGAAATGCTAGTATTACAACAGCTGAGTTTAAGCAAGAAAAAAAAAGAAAAATACAGCACACAAGCTACTTTAGTTGTTGCTCAATGACTTCTGTCAAATGACTAGAGTRTGATGTTGAAAGAGAACTATAAATGTTGGAAGAGAACTATAAATGTTGCAAGAGGCTCTAATAGAGATCAGAACAAGTTGCAAATTGTATGTTCAGGGTGAAATGTTTTCATATATAACTGTCATGCATYTTCCAAAAATTATTTTCTCACATTCATATTTATAGGTGATTCAGCCACAGCAGAGCAACATTAGAGTATTTTCTGCTAATCATGTTAACAGTAAGATACATCGTTCCTGGTAACAAAGGACATGGGCATAAATATATCCCAAGGCCAACTGCTCTCCCAGGACATGTGAGTAACACCCACAAACATCAGTGTATGTTACATAACCATCCACAATCAATACATGATGTTTAATTGACCAGATCACAAAACCAGCTGCAAGCACACTTCTCAGGCCCAAATGCAGCATTTTGCAAATGTTGTAATATTCCTCTATATGAAACTTTATTTCCTTCTGCGTTCATCTGTGCTTGAACCCTGAAAAAGAGGTCTTATCTGGTTGACAATGGAGTGTTTGATCKAAATATGGAAGATGGCAAAAGATCTTTAAAAAGTAAAAATATAAGAAATGGACTTATACTTTTTRGGGAAATAAAGTGCAGCAACTTCTGGATCCATGTCAGTGAGGTCATCTAAATAGACACCATCAGCACCAAGATGCCGGCTCCGTTTGTCTGTAAGGGATCRAACAAATAAGCCTATTAATTTTTTCTGAGTAACAATCCAGAGGTGYTATTACTGTTTAGCTATTGAGAAACCAGACAAGTTATAACAGTTTATGAATGGTATTTGTACAAAATGATACTGCCAAAAATTTCAAAACAAGTTTCTTTATATGCATTGTTCAAACTATGAATTAACYAAAKGGGACAGCAGGGGACTGGTTTTGAGACATGCCAAACACTGCCTACCCCAGACAAAACCAGTGCAAATCAGAAGTCAGGGATCACCTGACAGCAAAAGGAAAACCTTCTAAGTGTTTGCATAGGCCTATTATCAAAGTATGGCAGTCAGAGCATTTAATCTCTGAGAACTAATCTTCTATCCCCCCTTGCAAAAGGGAAATGACAGACTAAAATACAGTCACTAACACACTATAACTGGCTTGTTATGGAGKCAACTCATTTTGAGCACATGCACCTGATGTGTAGGGGACAAGACACGCCTTCTAGRCCTGTCACTAGGACCAACACAGAGCCACTGCTGTCCTGTTGCCAGTAAATCTAGACAAGTAGCCACTGTAAGGCCAAAACCTAATATGGAATTCATTCAAACCCACAACTTCTCACTGCTCTAATTGCCAACACCCAGCATTACAAAGGCAATCAGAAAATCCATACAAGGACTGAATAGTAARCAGCGAAACACGTCATTTTTTGTTTTCAAAGACAGAGGAATGCATGGGGGAAGAATGGGGGAAGAGGGCAAGAAACTTGTATGTTTACTGAGTAAAAAGCAGATGCACAAACTAGGCTTATAYAGACCTTACATAATTATAGAATAATCAGTGCTCTAAAACAGAACATTTGTGAGCAAATAAATTTCATGGGAAGACTATAACACTGTAGGGTTATAAAWKACCAAGTGGATATGGAGCMCAGAAATGAGGAAGTAGAAAAGCAGATGGGAGTTATATTGCACATATTCAGGACAGGACATGTACCACACAGAACTGAAAAGCATGCAAAACAAAAGCATCTTGTTTTATGGCAAGCTTGTTGTATGTGCAAAAGCCATACTACAACTTTGCACTAGAGCACAGAGTTTCCACAATTACTAGCAACACTTAACTCAGGTGAACCAGCAGATCTACAATGTGCTTGTACAAAAACATGAAATCCCTGAATCTGCAAAATGTGAATGAAACTGTAGTCTTGTTCATATGCACAGAGCTGCCAAAAACTTCAGACCAAGGAGAATCTTCTGTCTAATGAACAATCCCATTGACAGCTTGATGCACAGCRTGGGCTTTGAAGGCTCATTCTAAAGCTTATTCCTTTCCTGATCTGAAAGTGCCTTCAGGGCATGGATTATATTTATATGGCAACAAGATGCTTTATCACCATAAAATTTGAAGACAAAATCATACATATAAAAGTGCAGGATCAACAGCTTTACCTTTCTTTCTGGAAGGGGAATCCGTCTTGCCAGTTGGYTGGGCTGAGCAAGCTGCAGCTTGTTTTATTTCTTCATTTGCAGGCAATGAGGGTTCAGCTGCTCCTGGCAATTCTGTCTCTGGCTTATTTGTCTCAGCTGGTAAGGGCTCACTTTCATCAGCAGTTGCTGCATCTCCTTGTCCAAGGGCAGGCAGAGGAGACACTGTGTTAAACTCTTCTACAGGAGAACTCTGGATAACCCGAAAGTGAGTGCTTTCAGAAGGATTTACATCTGCCACACTGGGCTCCTTTGCTTTGAGCAGAGAACTGGCCTGTGAGGAAAATTAAACAGATTACTATAAAAAAAGCTCTTAAATCCAACAGCCTGAGTTTAAACTGTCCTGTTCACTCCAGTGAGATCAGATTGTCAAGATAACCAACTACAGCAGAAAGCCACCACTAACTGAGATAGAGACTACAACATGCAAAAGACCTCTMTGCTGTGTTTGTGCAAAATTCATTTTCATCTTGGGGCCAGGAAAGATTTGTTCTGCAATGTGCTCTACAGTCTTCATTTTCTATTCACCTACACCTCCCAYCTTGCCTTCCTCTCTTCCTGTGAAAATCCTGGCTTTCCCTCAGAAGGTAATCCTGACAAGCAAAAGGAGGTAGCACAGACTGGAGTCCTTGCACAATCAGGATGCTTTCAGGCACCAGGAGACCGTCATTCACTGTCACGGACAGGACACTATATCCCAGATTTAGATTTTAAAACATTTTACAGGAACAATTCCAGATCTTCCCTGAGTGTGGGACAGAAAGTGGTCTTACAGAGGAACAGAGTGGAGCTGAACTACAGCAGCAGCGGCACAGCTGCTGCAACCTTCATGTCATAGCAAACACACAACTTTTACATGAAGTTCAACAGCATACAAAGTAAAACTCCCAGTTCAGGTACAGCCAAATCATCTCTGAATGGCTTGGCTAAGGACACAGGGACTGCACAGAGAAAAGCCTTTGGGAGTAAGGTTCGCAATACACACGAGGGTGTGTGACTGGAATAAAAAAAGATACCCCTAAATCTAGCAGGAAACTCTTCATTCTAGACTTCAAATGCCAACTTGAAACTCCTGCATGGACCTGTGCACTTAAACCAGTTCTCTTTGAGAAGAATATAGCTCCCAATTTTCTTGTAATACACACAAGTAGGAGAATAGTGCAAAGGTGATGAGACAGCTCACCACTGGTATATTAAAGAAGAGGCCAGAGCTCATCTGAAGAAACTAAGAATTCTGGATTCCCAGCCCTYCTTTTTTCACTAATTACAGTGAATTAAAGATAAATTATAATAGTGCCTTTATAATACTGGTGCCATCACCAGAACATAAAAGTCTTCTTTCTGAACAGGATATCCACCTCCCTGGGCTGCAAAGCAGGAYTTTTTCCTCTTTGTACTGTATGTGAGCCCATCTCTCCTGCAGCCCTTTCTGCAGAGAAGCCAGCCTTCAGCAGGAGGGGCCAAACTCTGCACCATCCCAGCCCCCACAGTTGCAGTATTCCACTGAAACATGACCTTTATTTCCTATACACTGGTGCAGGCATAAACCCTAAGCCTCCCCTTTCCCGAGTGAATGCTCTGACTCCACAGCAGCTATCACAAAGAGCCAGCCAGCACCTGACCAACCTGCAGTGTGGGCAGCTGCCCATAGTTTCTGTGCAGCACTGGAAACAACGGTGCTGTCACACTGCAGATCATAAAACTAACTGGGACAAATGGCTCCAGGAGCAGAGAGGCACCAAGCCAGTCCCCTCAGCCAAGAAAACAGCACGTCTGCACATCCAGTGATACAGAACTCCAGGTGTCTCTGGATGCTTTTGTATTCAAGCAACCCATTTTAATTCTCATGCATCATACTGCTWACACCAAGCCCCTAATTTCCATCTRAGCCACTTATGAATTTCAGTAATTGACTAAAGGACACTGGGTTTGATTTTTTTTCTGTTTTTTAAGCTTCTAACTTTTACAAGACTGGTTCTCAGGTGCTTCTTCATTTTCTACTGTATATCATCAGTAYTGAGAATATCCATGCCATATCCATTTCCTATACCTTCTAAGGAAAAGATTCAGTTCTTTTACATAAAACACTGWAATTTTATGTAAAACCAGAATCCATTTCCTTTTCATCAGTCTGCAGTTTARCTTATGTTGGATACCTTTGCAGCCTGGGGTAGCTCTCCCCATGCCCAGTGCATGTGGGGATTATCTTTCAGTCCACTTCTGTCCGTAGGTTTACTGACTAATTCTGAGTCACTTTGAGGAGTAGGAGGACGTGAATCTGATGGGCTAAAGAAAAACAAACAAAAAAAATGTTACAAAAGCAAAAGTAACTAATGCACTACTAAGCACTTTCCAAACTGATATCCACCAATTCAAAGAACTGAAGACTGAAATAATTAAGAGCCAACTGAAAGTATGAAATCATAGRAAAATGGTTTAAACAGTTCAGGATCCTCTTACACTGACATTCAGAGGTCTCATCCCTTTTTCAGTGAGTGCTGTMAGAGAAGTAGGATTTGAAAAGCTGAAAGAGATGGAACAGGAACACTGGACCGAAACATTTCAGGAGGATTTCTGTTTTTCTGTGTGGAAAAAAGAATTGGATGATACCAGCAGCAGCAGATGAACAGATGTTAGTATTGTYATAATGCATGAAAAGTGCACAAATTATTCACTCACATCCTGACTAAGTAATAATTTAATCTAAGGAATCCACTTGGCTCCTTTCTAATTTGTTCAGTTCTACCACTGGATGGATGTTTATAAGGAAAACAGCAGAAGAGYTACACAAAGAATTTAAGCCCTTTCAGCTCAGACCTATTTAACTGTTTATTTTGATGATTACTTGATATTAAATACTTAATAATTAATTAATAAATTACCAGCTTGTAGCTGATATTTTTATTTCTTATTTTTAATGTGGTGAACTCAAGAATGTGATGTCAAATCAGTCATTAATAAATAATGAACCACTGCCTTCAAGGACAGAAGGAAAAATTCAGATTATCTGCTCTGCCTTTCTGCATAACACAGGTCATAGAATTTCCCCTAGAATCTCCTGAGCAAAGCCTGCATTTTTTATCAGAGCCATAACATGTCTTAGTATACTCATCCAATCCTGATTTAAAAACTAAAAGCAAAAAAAGAATCTCCAACACTCTAAATCGAAGGTCCAAACTAAGTTACTTTCAATCTCAAAAGAAAAGGCTTCCATTTCATGAAGTGCTTAACCCAATGATGTTCAACAAGGTGCTATGCCTGGGTTGAGGCAATCCCAATACAGGTTGGGCAGAGAATGGACTGAGAGCWGCCCTGCTCTTACTTGAGGGTGTTTGTGACAAAAAGCAGTGAGGGTGGTGAGGAATTGGCACAGGTTGCCCAGAGAAGTTGTGGACTCCCCATCCCTGGACACCAGACTGGACGGGGCCCTGAACAACCTGGCCTAGTGGAAGGTGTCCCTGCCCATAGCAGGGCAGGGTGGAATGAGATGATCCTTAATGTCCCTTCCAACCTAAACCATCCTGTGGTTGTGTAAAAGAGAAAACTGGTTTGGATATTCAGTTTATTCTGAGAAAGAAAAAGAGTAAATCAAACACGAAGAATTTATATAAAGGTAGAATCTTAGAATTGTTTGGGTTGGAAAGGATCTTAAAGACCATCTAGACCAACCACCTTAAAGCCACATCCAACCTGGCCTTGAACCCTTCCAGGTATGGGGCATCCACAAATTTTCATGGCAACCTGTTACAGTTTCTCAACACCCTCACAGTGAAGAATCTCTTGGTGAACGTCCAAGCTTTCAATTCAAAGCCATTACTCCTTGTCCTGTCACTACATGCCCTTGTGAAAAGTCCCTCTCCCTTTTAGGTACAGGAAGGTGCTATAAAGCCTCCCTTTTTAATATATTCAGAGACAGCTGGTAGGGAAGTCACTGATCACAGGAAAATAATTACTTCACATTCACATCTGAAACAACAGCACCCTAATTATCAACATTATTCACTGTTTTCATCTATGCAGTAAGACACACTTTGAATATGGACAAAAACTAGAACTTTTTAGCTATAGATATTTRTGTTACCTAATTGAATTATAAAATTTATAAGCAATCTTTTTAGGATGTAAGAATTCAATTTTTCATCAGTTCTTAAGGTAGACAATTTGACAGATGGAAGAATCAATACAATGCAATTTTAAAAGTATTTTCCAGCTCTAAGGATTCAAGAAATGCCTAGTGGGTTTTTCAGCTAGTTCTAAATCTCCCACTGAAAAGTTTGTAGGATTTACAGTATTTTCCATACTTATAGGCTTTATACTATTCCATCCATTGAAACCTTGGAAATCAGGAGCCTGAGCACTTCAAATAATCTCAGCAGGCAATAATGCCCCTCCTGTTGCTTTAAGCCTAAATCATGTAGATTTAAATAAGACATAAAAYGACAAGGCTTCTTTAACCTGTGCACTACAAACATTTTAACCTTCAAGAGACCTATTGTTTACTTAGAAAAATCTCCAATCTGGCCTTGTYCAGCCCAAGCTCACTTACTCAGACAGCCTGAGAAAATAGAGGTATTGCTTTAGTTTGGGTAGAACCTCGGCATTTTGCAGTAAGAAAACCAGTTTGGGGTGATGGTGAACMTGGTCTTCTCCATAATTTTTTCTGAAATACAGCTCCCTTGTACACACAGCTGAGTGAGGAAGAGCCTGAGCTGTTACTCAGCACCATGATTTATATTCCAGAGCAAAATGAAAGTAGTGGAAATATGGCACCTGCATATGTGAATATGTTGAAGATGGCAGAATTCTGTCTGTGAAGGTTCTTACTGCAAAAGGCTGACCAATRATCTGGGTTTGCCTCAGATGAGGCAAAGACAAGCTATGTCTTGCAATTCTTGTGTCCCTAAGTTATGCACTGACTCAGCCCAGCTGAAATTTCCTTGCCTTTAACAGATTGCTGAGATACTGCAGATCAAACCAGAGCCACCCATCCTGTCAACAGTGCACAAGAAGGAAGGGAAATTTCAGCTCAGTCATTAAGATCAGCATCTCTGATTCACATCCCATAGATGCTGAATATTTGTGTCACACTCCTATGTACTCCTTAACAGCTATTATTGCACTTAACCTAATCCAATGTCAAAGAACAAGGGACTTGGCCTGTAGTTGGCAGCTCTGTAATAACAAACCATATACAAYAACAAACAATCTTTGCAGTGTTTTCCACTAGAAGCAAAGAGATCCCTGAAAAAAGCAGCAGTGTGACCTGAGAAAAACTACTGGYTTGGGTGACAAAACATACCTGTGAAAAGATAATGAGAAGGAAAGAGGCCTATGTCATGCACATGTCACASCAATGACTGAGAGCCTCTAACTCTCCTCTTAGGTGGCCAAAATAGCATTCCTTTTTCATATAGAGGGGGAAAAAYGCTGAAAGACCCACCAAGAATTTCTTATTTCAACAGCTGCAAACACAGAGCCTCACTCAGACAGACTGCTACAGCACTTAGTAGCTGCCTATGCAGGTGAACTCCAGAGCAAAGTTTATGAAGCCACCCAGAGCACATCACTGCTCCATCCCAATCTGTGCTCCTGCCCTCCCTTGCAATGAGAACATGCTAAGGGGAACAGCTTTGACTATCCCAGAATCTCATTTTGACTTGGTGCTGCAACATGGTCAGGTTAAAGAGGGCAGATCTAGAAGCTGGGAAAACCTCAAAAAAACCTTATCAGTTTTGACACAGCTTTAGACACTGAGCATGGCAACTATGCTGCTATCACACATGAACAATTAAGCCTGATTTATTACTCAAAGCCTTCCCAGAATTAATGGAGAATTGTAGAGGTAATATTCCACTTGTTTAAATTTTTTAACTTCCATAGCAGGGACCTCTCTTCACTGACTTAATGAAGTGAAAGAGCTTGACTGCAGAATCTTGAGACTTMTTGAATTTAAGATAACAAGTGTCTGTATTCACTTTTAGCTCGGTAGAAAAGAGGAATCCTACACGACAGCAAAGGTTTAGTCTCAGTCTCCTAAACAAGGTCTCTTATCTACTGTGTCATCTTTACTCTAAAAGGTTGTCCCTCAATGCAATACAACATACAGAAAACCTTTCCCTCTCCCAAACCATGGAACAAAGGAAGATAAGGTTTTTTTTTGGCACTGGACTCCTCCCATTACAAGATTTACATTTCTTATTGCTCACTTAATCTCCATGGCTTTTGTTTTGCTTTTACTTTAGCAATCTATACACAAGCAAACAACTCAGGAAAACCATGGGATAAAAATGTCCGTAAAGTATACACTGATAGTAAAAAGCTATGAGGAAATGTCAGTCTCCATTCTAGGAATAAAYTCACTAGCTACCTTCTTACTTTTGGGGGTTTTTATCATCTTAATGAACTTGATTTTTAATCCAGGGTCTCAYTGACCTGATTTTATATCAGCCATCCTCTTTCAGTGGATGTTTCATCAAGCTAACTTASCTCTACTCAATGCCCACAAAGAAGCAAGCAGAGAAAGTGGTTTCCAATGTCACTTTCAATGTATCTGGGTTAGCAATAAATACAGTTATAAATTCAACAAAATTCACATAGTCTTAATGTGTTAACAGTTTATTAATGTATTAAAAGGTTTAAAAAGCACTCCAGAAAAGAGGGAGGACAACTGTTCTACCTGTCTGGAAAAGAAAAGTAAGAAGATTGTTGAGGATAAGAGTTAGATAGGCCTCCATCTGCTGGAACAGTGAGGAGAGAGGTTTGCCCTGTACAACCTATAGCCTTACTGGGCAGCAGAGCATGTTGGGAGAAAGAAAGGCAGGGTGTSATTATTCACAAGTGCTGATTAACATAAACACTTTGTGCATTATTAACACAAACGCTGAATCTACATCAGGAGTTTTCAAAATCCAGGATACTGCAATCAAGAAACAAACAGAACATACAGTTCCAAAAGCCATAGAAAGGGCAGGATATTGACAAACGCTATCAGCAGYCTGGTGAAGCTAATCACATTAAGCTTTATAGGCAGTGGAGAAAGTTTCTTCCAGAACACAATTCAAAACATTTAAATTTAGCCCTGAAATAATCTCACACTCCCTTCCTCTGCCCCTCAACTACAGAGGTAGGATATTGAGATAAGACTTTTTAGGATAAGGTCTTGTGAATATTGCTGCACTCCAGCAGTCTGCACTGGGGACGTAGAGCACACGTGCATGGGGGCACACAAACACACAGAGAGCTCACTGGAATTACACTGAAATGCACATTAAGCATTTCTGCTTAATGTGCAGTGCACATTGTCCCTTTTTGACAGACAAAAGAAGGGAGGTCCAAACTGCTCTGTTTTGACATGAAAGGTATACACATATACACCAATACACATACAGAAAAAAGGAAGCAAATTACTGCATGTGTTCTTTTCACACAGTAAATATTTCATGTCTCCATTAAAAGTGACATGAAAAGCTCATATTCTTATTCATTAAAAAAAATATTACTTTTATATATCAACTCCAATCTGACAAATTCTTAAAAGGATTGCACTCAGAGCACTGAAGACTTATAGTCCTACATTCAGTAAAGTCCTTACAGGGCGTGTGCATCAGGCWAATATTCAGATTTCACAAAACATTTATCCTCTCTACAGTATTTATATGCAAACAATGGTATTAACAGAAAAAAGTATTCTTCAGAATTTGTGGACTTGCATTTGTATGTATGCATTTGCTGCACCAAGGACAAAGCCAATCTGATGTTTTGGTACACTATCTTATTGCAAATATAAAAAGCATTCATATAATAATGGTCAGTGAGCATGCTTGACATCAAAGCCTTTAGTAAAGACATTCTATACCACTGGCATAAAAGACACTAATGGGAAAACTAAAATTAGGGTACGATCTAGAACTGTACTATCAGAAAAAATACCTTTGAAGAGGTGACCATTCTCCATCTGAATGAGTGTAAGGCGCAGACTGAGAAAGCACAGAAACTGCAGGAGCCTTTATGTCAGACACATCATCAACAAAAACATCTGGAACAGGGATCCTAAATAAGAGGAAAGAAGTGACATTTAAAAAAACATACTTGATTACTGAATTGTCATATACATCAGATAAAAAAAAATACCTATTGCAGAGAAGAATTAGCATAACCTGAAGTAAAAGGAAATAGATAAATGTTATCTGATTCAAACCACCTAGTTCACAGCACCACCGAGGATTCTTCCTATGTTTTTAATGTCATTTTCATTACTTTAATTCCCAACATTCCCAATAATAATTACCTAAAGCTTCATACTTAACAACTTCATCAGCCATACATTCTGACTTAGAAATTACTGGTAGAAAGCATGGACTGGAACATTAACATAGGTTAACAGGTTTCCATTACACATCTCAATTCCACTATAATACCTTGAATTGTCCAATGGCTCTTTTTCCTCCTCTGAGCTAATATCTATGGGAAACATGTCTTCATCTTCTGATGTGTCTCCATGTGTGTCTTCTCTTTTTAAGCTGTCTAGTTTATGGGTCGACTTCCTCCTCTTCTTCCTTCTTTTTTTCACAGAGCTAGAGACTGGAGGTGTTTCAGTAGAAGGCTGAGCTCCATGAGCTTGGGGCGGRACTTGTGAGGATGCATTGGTGTCCAAGTTTCGTATCCTGTCTATGGAATTCCTCTTCAGCTGCGATTCCATTAAAGCAGTCCCCTCAGACAGAATGGGGGATGTGGACAGATGTAAAGGAATTACCTCCTGAAAAAGAAAAAATCAAACCATGAAACATGTTAGTTCTTTCACCAGTCATACAACTAGTTCTAAGACCTACGCACAATTACCAAAATCTAAGTTATTTACTCCTCAGAAAACCAACGATGATTAAACAGCTGGATGCTCATTATGCTCCTATGGCATAYGGAAATTTTTCCATAGCTGCATCTCCTTAGACAAATCAGGGACAATACTCTCAACACAGAGCATCCTCCGAGCATCTAATATTGGCCAGTTTATGGCACATGTCTCTGTCCATCTTGTCTAAGATACAGAGCAGAAACAAAACTGTAATTTAGAATCTGAACATTTTGCAAGATCCAATTTCCCTTCACAACACAGATGACAGATARCAGTCAGATACGTCAGTGTTTTATAACTAGGTCACACAAACACCCTGCTATTCAATCACATATATACATCTCTAGACATTCACGGAAGTATTTCCAACAGTTTTCAGTCACCAAATAACTGTTATCGCACAAATATTTTAAACATAAAGATATAGAGATGCACATTTCACAAAGCTCTCACCTGAAACCAGTAATATCATACTCAACACAGGAATTTGAAAACTCATTCTACTCTGCACAGTGACAAAAATTATTGGGGATATCTCAAGAGAAAGGCCTGCAAAAAAATTCTTGTATTATATTATGTGCAGAGTACTCAAAGTTAGTGTGACCACAACTTATTTGGACCAGTATTTAACCACAGCWCAACAGCAAACATTCTCATTTAAATATAGCTCCACATGAATAGTAGTTGTGAGATCATGTTTATGGGSAGCACCAGAAAGAATGGGTGCACAGATGTTTACAGAGCATGGACACTTTTACTGGCAGTCTGGGGCATGTTCAAATTAAAGACTTCTGAAAAAAACAGGTCCCTGGACATTAACCTCTTGCACACAAGTTTGAAGCATGTGAACTCTGTACATGCCATTTCTGTTCACACACTGGCATGCACATGATTATTTTTCACTTATGTGATTACCTTTAGCTTTTACAAATCTCAGCAACTCAAAAAAAGAAGTAACAGCAGAGCATTAAATTTCAATAGCAGAAAACTGTCTAGAAACCTTCAAAATTATCAAATGGGTAAAAGTATACTTTTTAACAAGATTCCTAAATTCAAAACTGACTCTGAAGAGTAGGCATCAGATTTTTAATGAATTTACAATAGTTTTGACTCTTACCTGATCATTATCCGTCTCCTGCACAAAAAAGGCCTCCCCATTGTCTCCCAGTTTCATGTGCAAATCTACAGCCTCTCCATTAATTTCTATGTCAACCTGGAAGGAAATAAATATATTCTCATTTCAAAAGAAAGTTATTTTAGGTACACAGCTCCTGTTCAGCTGTCCTGCTGCTGGCACTGGGCAAAYACTTCTCAGAGAAGTGTAGGAAACCTTATTATAAAGATGAAATAGTGACCTACTCTTTCTTTCAGTACCCCTTCACAAGGCAATCAATTATAAAAATGTTTTTCTCACTCATTCRGCTCATTGATATCTTGCTCCTCTACTCAGGTTTATAGTCATTACATAAAGTTCTGAATTTTTTTAATGTAATTCTGAATGCATCACTTGCCACACAAATCTACTTGTTCTTTCAGTTCATAGCCTATTTCTGAATTGTGCAAGAAGTACTTCCAAATGCAAATTCTTAATAYGTTGTCTTTCAAAATTCATTAAAGAGATTTTTCTTTACACTATGAGAAACAAAATAACAAAAATAATTTTACATTGAATTCCTRTGTCTATTTCTTCCACACATTTATCATATTACTGTACAACCCTAATCATCTCCATTTCTTCTCAGAAGGATCTCTCTCTCTGCCTATAATCATGCTTGCCACCAATTCCATTTTCACTGCAAATTTTTTTGGAGGCCTGCACAAGTCTACATTTATTTTATATTTCACAACACRGTACACCATTGGCACAGTAATATTATCCAACTTTTACTTATCCTAAATATTGGCATTTCTTTCTCATCTAAGTGAGAATTGAACAATGTCCATACTAACTTTAGGATCTTTCTGCTGAAAATTCTAGCCAYATTAGAACCTAGATATATAATTACACACTACTTCCTAAAATACTCTGTCACACTGGTAACTTCACATCTGATACACTGCCAGGTCACTCAGCCTGGTTACATTCATTCCAAAGTCCTCACCATTTTTTCTAACTTCAATTAACCTCAAGGTTCTATTACCTGAAAATATTACTTCCCTAATACCTCCCTTTTTGGATTTATCATTGAAWGTGTCAAAGAAAGGGGTTTTAATACAGTCACTAATGAAATCTAGTATAGWCTCAAATAAGCACATTCAAAATTTTGCTTTCTTGAATATAAATGTAACAAATTTCATGGCTAGTTTTGTTTTTTGTTATAGTCAATGTCTTACAAATTATGCTCTGAAATGCAAGAATCAGTAACAACCATTTTAACTGAAGCCTGCCTTAATTCAGGTTCTTTATAAAGGATGTCCAAAGAAAACATTGGCTAGCAGACCACAGAACATTCAGTAACTTCCATGTTATTAGAGCTAACTAACAGACAGAACATACAAAAATTGTCMTATTTTCTTACCACTTTCTCCCTGGAACGTAGAACTCCCATTTTCCCAAAGCGAACATGGAAAGGGGAACACTGAAGATTTCCATCTGGCTGACGTACRACAATGATATCTATACAACCTGACAGTGTGGCTGGGTTTAGTCCCTTATAGAGCTCCTTTACAGTTACAAACACTTGCCCTGCCAACTGTCCAACGTARTTCATGGTTTGGACCTGAAAAGCAAAAGGTGGAACAAATTAGATTTTCATCCCTGCTTTGTATTTTATTTGTGTTTTATTYGASAGATACAGGGTCCAGCAGTGGGATATTCTCCTGTTTCACAAATTAACAATTTTGCATGAAATCTGGATATCCCAGGTAAATTATTTACAGCATGTTTGTAGAGAGCTACTGAAAGACAAAAAAAAGCAAAAGGAACCTTGTAAATCAGAGAATTGTAACAGCTTTCAAAAGTTCATTAAAATCAGTTGCATCYAAAACCACTGTCAGACTTTTAGACTCTGAAACTCTTCAATTTCTTCAATTATCTCTGAAGAGAAAACRTTACTTCCAGAATAATATCTCCTCCTATCATTTATTGTGCCCTCAACACCAGATATACTTTTCTTGTGTATTTCCACAGGCTTTTATGGGCAGAGCAAGTGAATAGCATRTCTAATTTTGCACCACACTAAAGGCAAAGACTATTTTTCCTGTTTTACACGGATTTCTCCCATTAAAAGATTATAATAAATGTATTCAGRCAATAGATATGCATTAAGGTTGGACAAGCAACCTTCAATCCAGAGCATCCAAATATTGCTTCCTAATGCAACTTTACTTTCTTGTTTCCAACAGCCTTTTCAAACAGYATTTGCAGTTTTATTAAAAATCAGGCATGTATTGATGGTTGAAGTGATTTGCTTTATTTTTCCCGCTCCTGGATTTATTTAGTACTTAGCATTTAGTTTCCTGCTTCTACACTGATAATACACGTCCTGATTAATACATTTAATCCCCCAGAAAAGAAAGCATGCATACTTAGATAGACAAGCCTAAAATGTCTTTTAATGGCTCTAAAAATATGAGTGAATTTAAGCAGATATCTTCCTGAACAGTATAGATTTTAAAGACTTCCAGTGTCTATTGTTTTTCACTATTTTTTCAGCATCTCTTGCAGATTCCAAGATACTGGTGTCAGCAAAGTCCTTGTGCACTCAGTATAGAGCATAAGACACACATACAAGTTCTTTGCTAGGCTGTACTACACCACCTGGATGTCAATAAAAGAGACAGTTGCAGGGTAGGCAATGTTAAAACTCCTATTGATGGTGATGAGAACAGAACTGAGCTCAGAGCCTGAGACAGTCACTGCACAGCAGCATCATCTGCTACAATAGAGACTCTTTCAGCTGTGTTTTTTCATAAACAACAAAAAGATGTATGAGATGCTGTAAAAGTGGGCCCAAAATTTAACTCTGAATTACAGTTATAAACAAAAAACTGTTTAAAGCATACCATGAAAGCACTACAGTAACACATCAGAAAGTTAGGAAATGCTATAATTAAGACAGATTTCTTCCACACATTGCTATTCTAATTAACATATGTTCACCTGTGATTTTTTTTCAAAAGTCCCTCCACACTGGATGGACTGAGGCTTTGCTTTCTTCTCTGTTTCTATTGCAATACATGGGTCAGGACACAAACCRTGTTCTGAAGGAAGAATTATTTATGGCAGGCATCACTATACTGTCCCTGAAAAGCAGTGATAGTTTCCACACCTGACAGGTGAGGAGCTGAATCACAATAAGATTAAAACTAGGCACTAAGTTAAAAAAAAATCAGTTTGATTTTCAAAGTATTTAGGGTACAAGATGCTGTCATGGATTAACCCCAGCCAGYAACAAAGCACCRCAYAGTCACTCACTCACAGCCAACTCCCCACCATAAGCATAAGCAGGATGGGTGAGAGAATSAGAAAAGTGATAAATTTCATGGGCTAAAWTAAATACAGTTTAATGGGACAGGAAGGGAAAAAAGTTATAATAATTATAATAATAAATTGTAATCATAGGWATAATGAAACAATTTCAACATACAAAACAAGTGATGCCCAATGCAACTGCTCASCACCCACTGACCAATGCCCAGCCATTTCACAAGCAGTGGCCCATGACCAGCTTTCCCCCCAGTTTATACTCTGGGCATGATGGAATGGTATGGAATATCACATTGGTCAGTTGGAATCAGCTGTGCGTCCTCACAATTTCTTATGCCACTCTAGCCTGTCACTGGCAGGGCATAAGACAACAAAAATTCCTTGACATAATGTGAGCACYGCTCAGCAGCACCTAAACCAGCAGTGTCACCAACATTATTCTCATCCTAAATCCCAAACACAGCACTGTACCAGCCACTAGGAAGAAACCTTTATCTCAGCCAAAACCAGGACAGATGTTAACTAATGGAAGAATAATGCCTAAATAGTGTTTGGAGAAGCTTTTCTGCACAGCCCTCAATTCAGGCATCCAGTAAATGCCACCAGCTGAAAAACCAACATACAAAAACTTCATGGCAATTATATTCCTTTCTCCAGCACTGAACTGGTATCAGCACTTCTGGGCTCCTATTATGCACTAGGAACATCGCCTTCCTGAATGCAAATCTAGTGGCAAGCTGTTTCATTGGGAACATCACTTCAAACTCAAGCCACACCGAATGCTGCGTCACAGAACAGGCTGAAAGAGACCTCTAAAGGTCACCTGGTCCAAGGGTCCGCCAAAAGGAGGGACAGCTTGAACAGCATGGCCCACAACCTTGGTCCTGCAGAGTTCTGGTGTCTTCAAGGATGGAGATTTCTCAGACTTCCTGCTCTCCTTTTCCTATGTTTCCCCGTCCTCTCAGAAAATTTTCTTTACCACACCTAATCTGAATTTCCCTTGTTGCAGCTTCTGCCATTGCCTCTTGCCCTACCACTGTGCAATTCTAAAATCCCAGCTGTTTCCTCCATACCMGCAAAAAGTAACTGAATACTCTGAGGACTAAATAAAGCTAGTTTCCTCAGCCTCTCCTTTGAAGTCATAAGCTTATCATAGGCCCCTAATTATCTTGATGGCCACTATCTAAACTCTTTAAAAAGGTGGCATGACACARGCACAAACCTAAGTTCAGAAGCAAGTCTCCAGGGTGATGTAAGCAAACTTTTAAAATTACCCCTTTGCTGTGGAAAAATACTTTAGTTTTTACTGGTGATTTTTCCAAATTAAAGTACAAAAAGATAATTTCTCATTGAGCTAAATTAAATGTAATGACAGCTACAATTAGGCTCAAAATTACACCATATAGTTCATCCCAGTTAATGTCTGTCTGCTGAAGTAACAAAATTTCTAGGTGCAAAACATCTTCCTTGGTGGAGAAGGAGCTGCTGGGACAGTATACACAACCCACTGTTTGGGAGAGTTATGGGCAGACAATCCAAATAKGAGGACTCACACATCCTCTTAACAAGTTACACCAGCTGGGCTCCTAAAATCCTAAACAGAGAATTTTGCAACTATTCTTGTTCACAACAAACCTTAGCTGCACTGCCTGCCCTGTCTTTGGACACAGAGATTATTTTTATACGCACAAATTAAAAAAGCTGGACACCATCCTCAAGCTCTGAGGCCAAACAGCACAGCACAATTTGTTTCCATACAGTGAAAATATTTTATCCCTTAAAAAGTGCCCCATTCAAACTGTCAGGTGGTGATGGACACTACTCTCAAGCTGGGCTGAAYCTGGCATGTACAACAGTAATTATGRAATTAATAAACAGACTGGGAGACTGATCACTTCTCCAAGAAAATGACGAAAATTGGTTTGTATTTCAAATTCAGGGAACAAAACATGCTGTAGTTAAAATGGGGGAGAGGTCAGAAATGAGACTGATGGTTGTAAGCTCTCTATCCTACCTTTYATACAAGCCAACCAAAGCTAAGATTGTTTGGAGTCTGAGGTTTGTAAGTTTGTACTCCGAACCTAAAGTCAGTGCATGCCATGTCAGCACTCCAGGAAACCAACATTCCACAAGCCSCAGAGGGACTGGATGTGGTTTGGGAGTGACACTTTACTCTGGCCACTCCAAGAATTCTTTCACTTACTGACCAGGCAGCAGTGAACACAAGTTTATATCAGGGGTCAAACACCCAGTGCCTGCCTGTTAATTAAACCCAATTTAGTAAATCTCTTGTTCTCATACCACACCAGTGGACATAGCATAAAGTATTTTTTCATGCCGGGAAAATTCAGAATCCTTTGATCTAAGCTTGCAAGTGAGAACAGTCTGTACTGCTTCTGTCAGGATTTCAAATGGTTTGAGTTTTGTTATTTGCCAGAAGACATTTCACAACTCTGTATTTTGCATCTATTATAAAATTAAAAGTATTTTCTAGTATAATTTTAAATGTAAATTTAACTGGCACCACCTTCCAGAAGGCCTAGAAAATTTCCAACTCTTTTGATTGTTAAAGAAAGCAGCCATTTCTCATTTCACATTAATCATGATGTGGAAAAATAAGTCAAAAATAAATAACTCGGTGATCCCCCTTATTATTTAACTGATTTATTCACTTAACAAAGATTGACCTAACAATATTAATTCTTTAAAGACCCACTCTGCTGGATACCACACTGTCMTCTGGATAATCCATTTGTTTCAAGCAGGTACACCAGACTGTCCTAATTCCCCTGGAAAAGCCAGTAATTGTACCCCTTGTGGCACAGTTTTGGTTGTTTAGATTTGGGGGCCGTTTTACAGCTCAGCTCTTCCCCATGCTATTTCATCTTTCTTTACTGCATTTTTCAAAATAAAATACTGAAAATCATAGGAACCGAAGGCTTTTTTTTTCTTTTGCAATACCCAGTGTCTCGTCAGGTACCACAACATAATGAATAATAGATTAGATATCCAAACACATCCAAATTACTAAGGGATTCAAGTACTATTCAACATGCTCTGAACACAGACAATTGATTCAGGTAGCACGCTGTAAGGGTAATTAAAAAGTGGAATACACTTCCTCTGGAAGACATGAAATTTCCAATGCAGAAAATTTTGAAGAACAGGGCAAAATCTGCTGGAACTGGTTTAAGAACAAGCAACTGTAATCTTAGGGAAAGACATTGTGGCTGTGCCAGTGTCCAAAGCAGTAAATCAACCCATCACAGGCCAAACTATTACAATCTGGGC